AACAACCCATCCAACAGCTATAGAGATATTTCCCTACATACTAAAAGACCTCACAGCAGCCCTTCAGGAAATGTTCCAGGACTGTTAAAGTCAAGAAAATGTATCCTCTGAGAACCAAGAATGTCTGTACAAATTTTTATGGCTATCCACCCTCTAGATTAAAAGATACACTGAATAAGTAGAAACTTTGACTTTCTTGTGGCCCCATATAGAAATTAATGGGATCATCCAAGTCACAGTATGATTCATCATCTGGGAACCATGGGTGTCTGTCCACAATTTCTTAGCGATCTATTCAATAGGTATTGAGATATTTCCTAAATACTGAAAGTGCCAACCTCACAGTGGGCCTTCAGGAAAAATTACCAGCTTGTTAAAGTCAAGAAGTTTTATCCTCTGAGAACCATGGATGTCTGTACAATTTTTTAGGGCAGTCCTGTAGATTATGTGTTGATTAAGGAATATACTGAGTAAATTGAAAAGCTGGGTTGCATGGTGGCTCGGTGGTTAGCACCATTGCCTTGCAGCAAGAAGGTCGCCGGTTCTGCGTGGAGTTTGCATGTTCTCCCCGTGCAGTGTGGGTTCTCCCTGGGTTCTCCAGCTTCCTCCCACAGTCTAAAAACATGTTGAAGTTAATTGGTGATTCTAAATTGTCTGTGGGTGTGAATGTGAGTGTGCTTGGTTGTCTGTAAGTGTAGCCCTTCGATAGACTGGCAACCTGTCCAGGGTGTCCCCAGCCTTCGCCCTGAGTCAGCTGGGATAGGCTCCAGTGACCCTAGTGAGGATTAGGCGGTGTATAGATAATGGATGAATGGAAGTTGAAAAGCTGACTTTCTGGTGGTCATTCAAAGCATGTTACAGTTTATCATCTGGGGACCCCAGCTGTCTGTACACAGTCTAATAGTTATTGAGATATTTACTAAATACTCAAAGTGTCAGCCTCACAATGGGCCTTCAGTTACACAATTGTCAAAGTCAACAAGATTCATCCTCAGACAACAGTGAGTATCTGAAATATTGACAATCATTAACATTCCTAAAGCCACTAAGATGGCTTAGAACAACAATCTAAAGGAAGCCAGAAAAGAACAGAAGCATATTTTACATACAGGACCTTCATGCTGTGAAAGCAGTGTGAGGACATAAACCTTCATACAAGCAAATTCCTTGTTTTTGCCTCATAAACACTTCAGTTTGCCTGCTTGTTGTGATGATGTCAACATTTGCGTTCTGCTGAAGTGTCAAAAATCCCCCGGGCGGACAAGCTCGAGTTCGTGAGCCAGATGTGAGGATGTCTCTGAGGTGCATGTATCTTGATCACAGAAGATGTCAACTGTGTCTTGATTGCCTCGGCGACCCCTGTCTCTGCTCGTCGTATGACGCACTTCCAGGAATCGCTTAGCAGCCATGATAAAGTAATCCAGCATTACAGGACCGTCCTACATGCGACCTTCAGTGTCCTCTCCTGAACTCTGCACCACCCTGCAGTCACACTCCCAAACTGCCGACAAGTACGACTGAGGTTAATTGATACATTCAAGTGAAAGAGACGTGACAAGATGATGACAATTTTAGGCACACTTAATCCATATCAGATGGCTGGGAGGGAAATGATATAACCATAGATTATCACACTACAGGAGGTAATGTGTTAGATCTGCATCTGAATCAGTGGCTGCTAAACCCCTGACTTCCTCGCTACATGTGCAGCAACGTATAACTTTGACCACAACCTGTCATAACTATCAGCAATGCTGGCTGTGTCACTTTCTTCTTATTTATTTCCATCTCATAATTTTTCTTTTCTTAGCGTTTCCGTTTCCTCAGCACAGCCCACTGTAGGTGAAGCAGGGACCCTAAATCACGCGTAGGTGTTTGTCCGTCTTTGTGTTATCTGCTCAGTGCATGTCCCTGCTGTTTCTGTTGGCTGGCTTCCTGTGTCAGTGGGAAGTTAGACTGAAAAAAGCGCAATAATGCTTTGTTTAAGCCACTCCTACGTGACAGAGCAGAATGGAGCCTTACAATGCCTCCACCAACTGGAAGACAGATGGCCCTGGCTTGCAAAAAAGGGAAAAAAAAAAAAAGCCTTCAAATCAAAAGTGATGCAGTGTACGTCTCCACTGGTGTAAATGAACAAAACTTATCAGCAAAACTCTGTAGTGTGAAGAGGAGAGGCTTCAAGGCCTTTTAAAGCATAAACAATTCCCATAATCCTGCTTTCTGACGGCTTCATTGGACCGGGTTATTTACGAGGCAGCTTAGGAAATTGAAAATATCCTGATTTAAGCTTGTTGAAACAATGGGTCATGAAATGGGTCAAGGCGGCTTTAATGACCAAGGATCAATGAAGCCCCTCCATGATAAAATTCAAATCAAACTCCATTAGCTCATGCAGAATTAGTCTCCTGTCCGTCCGTGGACTGCAGCTCATCCAAAAAGTAATTAGAGAAGATGAGAGACGACTGCGAGGAGCCGGTTTAATTATATTATCAATCTTTCTCATGAAGTCTCATAACACGTATGACAAAAATTTGTTTTACTGCACGTGCTGCTTATCATTGCTTTGATGCCACTGAGAGCAGATGTGCTGTAGGATAATAGACACTTAAAGCTGTGCACAAAGTCACACACAGAGTATGCAGAAAAAACAGCTGATCAATCTGACTGCTTTACACCCTGGCTTTGAAAGAGATGGAGCGAGCAGCACTGCGAGGGAAGAGGAGTCGTCATTATCTCGGTGTCCGGGCGAGGAACCTGCTCCTGCAAAGGCGGCGGTCAGTATGCATGCAGACACTGTGTACTTATTATTGGCACTCGCTCACTCAGTAACTGGAGCCAGAGCTTCTTTAAAAAGCAAACAGACTCAGAGGGGTGAAGGGTCAAACCATGTGGAATAATGTCAGCTCTGTCTGACTGTAGAGGCAAAGTGATGTTTGTTTTGGTCCGAGGTGCATTAAAGCATCGAGAGAAGTAATATTTTTAGCATGCGTGTTGGGTCTTGTGGGAATAGAGCCGCTAACTTTGGGTCATGATCTACCCACTGGGGTGCACACAACTGTTGATTTTGAAGCTAATTTGAAGAGGTTTTTCCCTGTTATATAGGTTTGAAAGTCTGTTATACTCAACAATTCAGAAACTTATCACATTTATCTTCAAAGGTCAAATATTTTTATGACTGCAGTGGCTTTAAGGTGCTTCACAAACCTTAAGTAAAAGTGGGACTATGTGACGTGACTGATGAACAGCACCCACTATGGCCACAAGTAACAGTTACATGATACTCAGACACTGAACTTGCCTTCATTTGGCCATTTTCAACCACAACAACTTGCAGGATGTTTAAGAGCAGCCCAAACCTTTGTGCATGTTCTGACTGCGATAAACATCCTTGTAGAACCTTTTTTTTAGGGCTGTTTGAGGAGAAAAACCTGCCTTCCCCAAGGTAAGTACTTCTTAGAAATTCTCAGAAGTGCAATTTTTTATTTCCTCTTGATGTCCAGTCTTCTCTTCTCTAACACTGACATCAACAACATAAAACACATCATATCGACTAACATATCAAACCAGAATTGTTCTGTTTCCTGTGTGCTCATAGAACTGCAGTTACAACCTGTAACTATTTGTAGTTGTTTTGGTGCAGATTAAGAACTAATGCGGTGGTCTAAAATGTCAGGTCCTACACCGTAATGGTAACAGAAAGGTTAAATCGGCTGATCAGGGAGTCAGTCCTGTAAATGCTCACACTACTTCATGCCTCCTGGAAGTTCCTGCAGTGGAAAGATGCCCATTGTCAAAGATTCTCTGGAGGTAGATACTTTCCAGCTGCTCTAATAAATATTTTTTTTTATCAACAATGGATCAAACCACGATAAGTAATGTGCAAGATATCACTTGAAATGATCAATGCACAGAGATTTATGACTCAGTGTTTCCCCTCAGCTCATTGTTTTGGTTTTACGGCCTGCAACTTTACCATTTTGGCAGACTCTCTTGAGTAACAACATCGCTTCCAGTCACAGCAGGTAATCATGTTGCAGCCACTAACTCAGCTAAAGAGCTAGTTAACGACAGAGCTAAAAGGGGAGTAAATATTGGACCCAGTTTCTTAGACCGACATGAACATGACGGATTGTGTCAGTTGGGGTTTCCCTTTCCCTCAGTTTATTATATAACGTTTTTTCTAATTTATTTTCAGGTCAATCTCATGTTATTTATATAGTGCCAATTCACAACATCATCTCAAGACACTACACATAGTCAGGACCTTATAAAGTTACACAGGGGAAACTAACAAATCTAAAATTTCTCCTTAAGAAAGTACCAACAACAGTGGGAAGAAAACATAGACAGAAACCCCAAGTTTCGGGAGGCATCCATCTGTCTCAACCAGATGGGGTGAAGGTAAAGGGGAGAGATGTCCGCCAATTTACAAAGTCCAACCCAAAGGTAGTTCTCTCCAACAGAAACAACCACTCCTTATCTATCTGAATATGTTTAATTTAAAGTCTAGGCTTTTCTTCCATTACGTATTTCCATCACTATGTAACACATTTGCATAGCACCTGCCAAGCAGCGAGTTGCCTTGCAGTCCACCAATATTCTCTCAGTAGAGTCACATCTCTTAGGACTATGTTCCTCTGCTGATCCTCACAGATGTAGAGTTACAGTACGTTCATAACTTTGTCTTTTCTTGGACCAAGTGACAAGTCAGAGCAGACTAGGCTTTTCAAGAGCGGAGTCTTAAAGAGGCGGGAACTAAAACTGAATGTTTCAAGCAAAGAAGAGGTACTGTCGCAATGTAGATTATGAGGGGGAAAAAAAACGTTTTTTGAACATTACAGAACATATTGCAGTGGGCCCCAAACATACATTTAGAAATCTGTAATTGTGTATATTATGGGCTCTTTAAAGACAATAGGTCAAACGCACAGAAAATATAAAAACTGAGGGCTGACATATGACATCAAGCAAAGAGTATATATCTTGATCAGACAAACAAGTAGTAAAGGATAAATACTTTATTATCAATTTTATTTTGTTCACAAGTAGCCATGTACAGGAAGATTCCAATTATTCAAAAGGACAAAGAACTGATATAAAATAGGAAATTCTGAACAAAAATTAAAACAGTCTTTCCCACATGGAGCATTTCAGTGTTTCTCACTTACTACACCCATCTCCTTACTATTTTATATCTAAATGAAGACCATGAAATCAAGGATTAAGAGCAGGTAAATTGCCCCTTAGAGTATTACAACTGTAATGTATAAAATGTGACATGGTAGGCCTACCTTGTAACCAAAATAGAAATGAAGAGCCAACAAAATGAGCTCAGATATGTTCAAGGATGTGTGAAGAGAAATGAACGAATGAATGTTCCTGTGAGGAATATGTGAAAGTGGGTATGTTGGAATGCAGCAGCGAATACGCTTGAGCTTCAGTCTGGCACACAAAGTTCGACGCCAAAAGCACAGAATGGACAGAACCTATAAAACAAATTGAACAGACTGTAGAGTCAGAATCTGAACGACATGCCAGAAAGACAGCGTGGGCAAAAAAAAAAAAAAAAAGAAGAAATAAAAAATAAAAACAAAAAAGGCAGGAGGACAGAAACCACATAGCATGTAGTCTCATAAACATCTCCACAAACACAAAGATGCTCTGTCATCTTCAAACAAATACAGCATCATGAGCAGATTTGTAATTTCTTATCCAGTGTTAAGGCACATAACTATTGCTTAGAAAATACAGAAACATAAATGACCTTTGGTAAATGTTTTACTTTGTACAAAAACATACTGCAATGAAAAAAAGAGATATAACAATCATAACATATCAAAGGTGCTGCTGCTTTAAATGCTGAACAATAAACTGTAGCATCTTTCCAATTTTCCATACTTTCTTTGTGCATGATGGCGAACACATCACGTTGTTCGCAAAGGTAAGAATGAAATGAAATCTCCCATTCTTTGTATGCTGTATCTGAGCACTGCACACATCATTGACACCAACAATACTCAACGGCAACTCTGACATACTGCTTTCAAAGTGCAAAATAAAATTTTAATGCCGCATCTTTTGCATTTGGAATTAACCTTTCAGCACCTTTCAGCAAAGAGGATTTGGTTTACAGCTGAACACATGAAATAAATTGCGTAAAAAAGGACCTTCAAGTACACTTGTTCATGAAATGTGATGGTAGCTTCAAGGACTATTTCGATAAGAAGACTGACTTCACTGTCATGTTTTATGAAGCTAAATCTAGGTGACGGCTTGATTAACTTCACAGCCTGGCAACCACAATGACAAGCAGTTTTGCATAATATAAAATGATAATTAGTGAGCTTTTACATGTGTTGCTACTGTTACAAATGGAAAATGTCTGAGGCAGATTTTCAGCAAATTTGTGGTTGAACTAAATTGCTTTTCCAGAATTGTCCGCTAGTCACAAACTTTCAGCAACATCTGGCATGAATGTGATTTTTCCCGTCTCAGGTAAACATGTTAATCAGTGGTTTCCGACCACAGTTTACCATTAGTGCTAAACTTCTAGTAACCTCCTGGTGACAAATATGTCATTAGTAGCCTTCTGAAGGACAAAGTGACTGTTGGGCTTTTAGCCACAAGTCTGCTTCAAGTTTGCCACAAACCTAGTTTATATATAAAATAACCTCATGCATATTTGTGGCAATATTGGCAAAAAGGTAACCACAACCATTTGACAGAATCCTACAATTCTTGTGAGAGTAGGCAGATTTTGTTACCATTGATCAGATCTAGCTGGTAGCCAGGAAAGTTCTTTCTTTTTCCCCTGGTCTTTATGCTAGGCTAGCTGTTCACTGGCTCTAGCTTCAATGGTTAATAGCATTGCAACATTTGTATGTTAATTAAGCTAAAGCCAGACAACAGTGAGCTTAGCTTCGCAGCAAGACAGTAAGCTAGCTGGGCTTGGTCCTAAAGTAACAAAATCGGCCTGCCAGCCCCTCTAAAACTTACGAGCAAACATGTTATAAGTTGTTTGTTTAATGAGTAGAAAAACAGCTTGGGGTTTTACAGAGGCTATAAACTGCACTACCTCTTGGTGGCTTGGTTGCCTGTGAACAACTGAAAACAAAACTCCAGTTATGAAACATACAAGACACAAAATGTTATTTAGTAAACTTTTTAGTGTGCTGCAGTGTGGCCTTTGTTAGCTCTCAACAGAGTTAGCTGGTAGCCAAGCTAAATCTTTCCCTCTCATTCCAGTCTTTATGCTAAGCTAAGCTAACTCTCTGCTGGCTACAGCTTCAACAATACTACTCACAAGTTTTTTATGTTAGATATGAGCTAAAGCCAGATGACAGTAAGCTGAGCTGAGCATAAACACTAGACTGACTTTGTCCAAAGGTAGCAAAGTCTGCCTGTTGCACCTCTTATGCTCATTAGTTAGCATGCTATATCATGTTTTTTTTAATGTGTAGAAAAACTGATGTGCATTAAAAGAAAACAAAAAACAAAAAAACCAAAAACATTTTGTGGGTTTTACAAGTGTTGGATTCTCAATGACAAATAGACTCCACCAGGAAACAGGATATGAAATGCTACTTAGTGAGCTTTTAGAGGTGCTGCTATGTGGCTTTCAATAGCTTGTAAAAGAGCGAGCTGGCAGCCAAGCTAACTCTTTTCCTCCATCTCCCATCTTTAAGCTGAGCTAAGCTATCTAGCCCAACTAAATTCTATCACTGCCACTGTCTGTTTATATGAAGCTGGAGACATACAGTGATTAGCTTAGCTTAGCTTAGCATTAGGCTTAGTAGGGGAGGAGTACCTTGGCTAGCTCTGTCTAAAGGTAACAAAATTCATTGACCTATTTCATTCATGTTGCACTTCTTTAGGCTATACAAAAAAGTGTAAGTGCAAGAACAACATGTTGTGGTTTTACAGGAGTTATAAATTGCACTACTTTTTGCCAGGTGTATTTTGAGATTCTGTCTAATACCTGGCAAACCGTAGGACAAATTTTTGCACAGATTGAAAAATGAGATTTAACATAGCCAGAAGGGGGATTTTTTTCTTTCATATTTGAACACCACCTTGGTCCACTCTTTCCAGTCTGCCTCTGGCTTTACCTTCATATTTAACTGAGCAGCATATGAACTGTATTGACCCTGTCGTATTGGCTAGAAAGGTCATCGATGCCAAAAACGCAGATTCGCTTATTTAAACTGGCATGCACTGTTTAGAGAGAAACAATGATCCAATGAATAAACACACACACATGTTCACAGGTGCCTTCCTATCTTTGTGAGGACATACACTGAGATAATGCATTCCCTAACCCTTAATCTAACCTTAATCTTGAAACCAAATCTAGAATGTAAAACATATTAAACTAAGATTTTGATCCACAAAAACATAAAGACATGGATACACAAACACATACTCAAACAGAGCGTAATTCCTGGTAGATTCTTGGTGTACAAAGACTGAAATGAAAAAAAAAATCTTGGTGAACTCTCATAATGCATAATTATATTCAAAGTCAACAGCTCTATCAGTTTTTCAGCGGAATGTACTGTGCAACAGAATGGCTATAAACACACTTCTTATTCTTTAAAATTTAGCAAAAACTGTCCAGCAACAAGACTAAAACGTGCACTGAGCAAATGCCACTATTTGCGGTATGTAAATACGAAACTCTGGAATAATCTGCATGAAATTCCTCCCAGAAACTCAAACATGTTTCTCTGGGGACTTAAAACATATTGAACTTCTCTCCTCAGGACTAATACCAGCAGAGATTGAAGGCCACAGTGGCATCTGATCCAGGTCTTACTGCGTTTACAGGACTCGCTGAAAGAACGAACAGGGTACCATATCAGAGAGAAAACATACTCCCAAATAACCCGGCAGTGGAATGTCTCTAGTCTGCTCTTTCTTACACTAAAACCTGATCAAGTACTGAGATGCTTCTTTGTGAAATCAAAATTTCCCAGTATTCATTTAGAAAAAAAAAGGGAGATATTCCAGTTCTTCCATCTCCCAAACCTCTAAAGAATCATTACTTTAGCTTTACATCCAAAATATAAAGTACCTCTTTGTATCTTTTATAAAAGAATCTCCTTGAAAAATACAATAAAATTTAAAAAACTATCGTGCAAATTGGAGTTTGAGCAACATACTTAAGACTGTAAGACATCACAATTTGGTGTGCAGCAACTGCTCCGCCACCTGCTCTGTCCTGTGTGCTGGATGAACCGTGTGGTCAGGCTTGAGTCTTTCCTCCGAGTTTCTCGTGTATTTAACGCACTGTGAGGCTCCGTCTGGCGGCAGGTTCAGCTGGACGCTGTCTGCCGGCATGAGCAGAGGCGTGGAAGTGATCCAGCTGGACAGGCTCACATCTGACGGCTCTAAAGTCTTATCGAGACACTCTGAGTCTTTGGTGGAAGGAGGCTGTAGCTCGCCCGAGGGCGGAGGAGCGTCTTTGGTGTAGGGAAGAGTGTCTATTTCTGAAGGAACTAATGTGTAGAGATCTGAGAGGTGAATCTCACTGTCTGTGGGCCCTGACAGGCAGCTCCGGCCCTTCTCTTCATCTGTTTGCCCCTGTGTGGCCTCTAATGTCTTGGAGCCGGTGATGCTCCTCTGGTCGTTTTTACTGCATCCTTTAGGTAAAGCCTTGCTGAGGGACAGGAAGGGAGGCTTGGGGCTGAGCGATGACCCCACCTTGACCCTGCTCAGACTGAGGATGTTCCTGCGGGTGTCAGCAGGGAGTTTATCCAACTGTCTTCCAACTTGGACTGGGCTCGGAAATAGTGTGCCTTGACACGCCCTGTAGAAATATCTGCAAAGAAAAACAGAGCCAGACATCAGGACACACTTCAGCACGATGGATGCCAGGCTCTCGGGATAAACATGAAAGGCATCTGGTATTAATAACAGACATAAATCACGACACGGATCATAAATATTTGAGAAAAACTGGCTTGTGCATCCGCAAATCGAACGCAAGCATACCGGGGCAGCAGAGCGGCGACAGGCGTGATGACGCAGAGCAGGTAGAAGAGGGGGTCCTGCAGCAGCCTCTGCATGGTCCAGTAGGGGTTGGAGGGCGAGTAGCAGGTGGGACAAGAGGCATTGTAGCACAGAGCCACGGTGAAGAATAAGGCTATACTGAAGGCGATCGACAGCCAGTTCATCCAGGTCTGCAGGGGAGGCAATATGACATCGTGACAGAAATTAAATTTGCAAACAATTTGATGTCGTTTGTACATATTTAGGATGAGCAATGAAGCCATTAAGTATATGTACATCACTACTGACAATTCAAGGGCAGCTTAAAAAAGCAATCCACAGTCCCTGCAGTGATTATCTGTCAAGTATTCTAATTCAGTAGCTGCATAAAGACTGGGGTTAACCCTCTGACCCCTAAAATTCACTGGCAGGTTTGAAAGGCATGTCATCTTACAAACTCCCCGCATCATTTATAATAACCAGAAGCTGAAAAGACAGAAAGAATGGTTGTACTTTTAGCTTCCAGACAGTCCTTGAACTATGTGAACTACGCTGAATCGTGTGTGACGTGCAGTTCCATCTGGAAAATTAACCAAATTTCAGCCTAACATTGTAATATTTCATTAACATCACTTTATTCTACAAGTCTCATTTAAAAATTTGCTAAAAATTAATAGTTTGTTTAAACCAGATTATGCAAAAAAAAAAAAAAAAAAAAATCTTCAACCATCAATGCAACTGGAAAGCCATTAGTGACTCAGCTGTAACCAACACTCACATGTGAAAGATTCAGGGACTGCAGGCTGTATTTACACAGAGCAGATGGGAGACAGGTATGAAAAGAAATTAAAAGTAGTGAAATATCTGCAGTATACAGAGTCATCATGTTTGTTCAGTGTTAGCAACACCTAAAAAATTAAAGGTTAATTATAGGTTTTAATTTATTTTGTGAAGGAAATTATCAAAGAAATTCAACGTTAATTTTGGAGTTCTTTCGACTTGTAGCCATTTTTCTGCTGTCTCCATACAGTGCAGGACTTTACATTGCTGTGGAAAAATGAGCCCACAGTGAGTAAAAGAAACTGCTTGGAGTTCAGAGGGTTAATCATGAACATAAATTAGAAACTGTGTATGTTTTTCCAATTCCAATAAGAAAATATTTCAAACTGCTGACACCTAATGTGGAACTAGAAACAGATAAACTAAACACCATGTTATTGAAATATAAATTACATGGCAGAAAATATCAACTTTATTTCAAATTTCTTTTCAATTACTGGTCCAACAAAGTCCAAAGTATTCACAGCAAACAAGCTGCAGTCTTTCACAGTAAATAACCAGTAATGGAATTATTCTCTTCACAGTGGTTTGTTAACAAAACAATCCTTATCCTACAAGATGCACTACAGATATCTACAATATTAATTATCCCTGCACCTGAAATATAACTGGCATTTATTCTCGTGTCAGTTGTCGATGGTTTGATTCTAACTAATAAAGATGTCATTACTTCCCCTCAATCCATTGTCGTTTTTAGATATGCTACATTAGATTTGAACAGATAAGAATGATGTTGTGGATATCATGAACTGGAATTATGAATATGAAAGCTATTTGCTTTTTAAACATATAATTGCAAAGCAACTGTAACTGCACAAGACAAGCTGTTTTACTGCCATGTCAAAACAGTCAGAGGCTAAAGCTGTAGCAATTTAGGCAACAAATCTGTAATAAACAAACTATTGTTCTCCACAGTCTTTTCACTGATGAGCTTTTCTGGAATATCTAGAATAACAATTCTGACCAGTTGAAATGACATTGTTCATATCTGTTATTGTAATTCCAGATAGTCAACCCCAGCTTATTGAATGTTGAAACATCTTGTCATATAAATAGCACCAGTACCTCCCTTTAAGCAGGTATATAAATAATTGAATGCAATTAAAAAAAATTCACTGTGAGAAGTCTGCAAAACAGCATTTAGAGAGATGTCTTCTCGTGCACTTTAATGAGTTTAGCCAGCCTAGGATGAAAAAAAAACACTTGTGCTTCATCTCTGAGTTGATTGGCTGATCTGACATCTGACAGAGTGAATACTATACAATGGCTCACTGGAGTATTGTCCTGACACACATAATTAATTACAGCCTCACAGCTACTGTACGGGGGGAGAGACAAGAGCGCTGCCTGCTGTCACCTCAAATACCTTTAATTGACTTTCGCAGCCATTTCCCAATCATGCATGCATTATGTTCCTGAGCAGCGAGAGAATGAAGTACCTGCCAGGAGAGCATTTGGAAGTGTTTACTTTCGGTCGATGCTGCGCTACATGAATATTCCTCTGCATGAGGGGCCATCGTGTCCAGGACGGTAGTTAGTGAAAAGGACATTCTTCATGTGTTTAAAAAAAAAAAAAAAAAAACTTGTCAGGCTAAATTTACAGCCTGGACATAATGGAAAAGACTCTGATTCAATGCAGGGTCATAAATTTAAAATGGCTCGCGACCAAGAATGCTGTGCCGTTTACGAGAACTGTGCATGGATACCTGAGAATAAAACCAAGGCAGTGGGAGAATCAGGGGAATAAAATCAGGTATTTTGGAGCTCTGTGGCAGTGTGAAGTGGTGGTGTGATGTAATGTGGCGTAGACGGTTTGCAGAGAGCCTGGATGGAGGCAGACACGCTGTCAAGCTGATATATAGGCTCTGCTGCTGCAGAGCTTTCTGATTCAATCTAATCAGCCGGAGTTAAATGTCCATGTGCCCGTAAGCCTTCACAGCAGTGATCGTATGGAGCCGATGAGAGACACAAAGCAGCGTGGATTTGAAATGATGGAAACTCACGAACTGACATCAGTAAAATCGGGTTTCCTACCCAGGTTTTGGTCTCGATGCCCAAATGCAGCAGAATGGTGAATAAAGCGAGGGTGGTGATGGGAGTTCCCCATGTAAACAGATCCACGTCAGAGTCAGCATAGGCCTGAGGGGGGAGAAGAGAGGGGAGGACAGTGGAGAAGGGGGAGATGACAGGGGAGATGATGGGTGAGTAAGAGCAATGAGGAATTACCGAGTACAGACGTGCTGATGGAAATTAAAACCAGACTTACAAAGTATGGGATGAAGAAGCAGACCAGACTTTGGTAGAAGGCATCAATCATGTTCATCCAGAACATATATGGCTTATATTCCTGTAAGATAAAACCCAGACATTTACTGATAGGTACCTCATCAAGGGGACTGGCGGGGGTTGAGTTTACAGCAAATGGACAGCATTAAATAAAATGAATTGCCATTAATCGTAAAGTTAAAGCTCAGCTGGCAACTGGGGAAAATGCTATTTTAAAGGTTTTTAATAAACAAAGGCACCGAAAACTTTGAAATGAATGACAAAGTGTATATTTGTGTCACTTTTACACAATCTCTATGTACAGAAACAGTCAAGCTAAAGTGTATTTTCCAAAAATAACTCCAGAAATGAACTCATGCTTTCATTTGACACAGATGATACAGAGTCCATATATAGTACGTGAAAGATGTTTGTGTGAAACCAATTTCTGGTTTGTGTGAATCAGCACAAAAGGCAAATTCATTGTTTCTGCATCCTCATGCACTGACTGATATGGATTTTGATCATGGAGCGCATGCTGTTCCATTCATACTACAATATACATTACATTAGGCATGCAAAGGTCTGCTGCACAGACATCTGCTTTACTGCTCAAATCGAACACAGAGAAACACACGAGACTCCTGTGACGTTTCTAAAAAGCTATGACTTTGTAGTTTTTGCAGGATATAACCGCTGGACTGTCAATGTGATTGTTCCTGAGGTGTGTTGAGCACAGTGAGTGGACATGGCACAAGATTCTCTGGGGAATTTAGAACGTCTTATGGTGTGCAAACTCTAACGGCGACTACATCAATTATCGCTCTTTTATTAAACAATTAGAAAAATATGGATGATGGACAGTCTCGAATAGTCTCTCCTACAAAGGTTTGAGCACCATTTGTTTTCCTGGCACATGCGTAATCGGCACGTTTTCAGTATCCATGAAGGTCCATGGTAACCCTTCTGCAGATGTTAATGGGAAGATAACAAAACTGAGGTAACATGTACGTCGTGAACATGGAGAGCATGAAATGACCGAACACACCCTAAACTAGGGCTACGTTCAGGATGGCTTCACCCTGGGTGAGAAACTGCAGCCTCTCATTTAGATGAATGGAGCTAGTCTTAGTAAACAAGAAGCTCCATCTTAGTTTAACATGTTTGCAAGCTAGCATTTGGTCATTATGACTAAACATAAAGAAATGATTAAGCTGAAATCTCTAGGTTTTATCGCTGGGGACCAAATTTTGACCTGGTGATGACGTAAGACAGTAAAGTCCAGGATTCCGCTTTGCTTCACAGCAATCCTTTGAATAATGGTTGAGATATCCAAGTATGGACTGAAGTTATAGCAGATGTTCTTACTCAAAATCTAAATTCTAAAACTCATAATTAAAAAGTTTGTTCAAAATTGTGATAAGCACAAAATAACAGAATGTTCTTCTGTGGTATTTGACGTATCGTTGATGTGGCCTTGTCCAGCATGTTTACTAGAGCATTTGCGTTCTTGTGTGTACGGAGATATTCTGTAAAACGTTGTGTGGACAGAATTTTTAGTTTTGGTTAAACAGAGGAGGGAAATATTCATATAGAAAAATGTCCAAATTAGTGTAAACCAGGACTTAGTTTTCTGTGTGACACTAAAATGCTGCACAGCATTACAACACCTCTAAAACTGAGGAACAGAGTCTTTGTGGACAATAATAATTATAAAAAGGATTATTGAGGAACTTATAATGCTGATATGTTGCTATAATGTAATGATTGAAATGTAATTTTCGCTTTTCGCTAAAGAAATTATATCAGTTGAGTAAAAGAATACTTGTTTCTTAATGCCACTAGCTTCATTAAAATGCAAATCTTTCAACACTAAAACAAGATGGGACAAACAGACGAGCAGACCCAGACCTCGGAGTTCTGGCCGTTCACGTAGAGCTGAGGTAGTTGTTGCAGAGTCTCTGCTGACACGTCTTTGTCCAGAGTGCCAGTGATGAGTTGCGGGAAGGCGGAGAACATCAGGTTGAAGAAGATGAGATACCACTGGTCAATCATTGCTGAACCTGAGAATCCACAGTAGAACTGGAACCAGAAGATGAGCGCCACAAACATCTGTGGGAACAAAAAGGGACAGACTCAGGTGAAGCAAACACACCATTTCAACTCGTCTTTTATGTACCAGATCAGTAGGAAAGTTGTCTTACAGCATTCTTGTAGAAGAAATAGAGAATCATGTTGGCCAGTCGGGAGTAGCACCAGTGCCCGTGGACCAGCAGGAGCTTCTGGAGATACCGGAAACGTGGGAGAGCAAAGTCGCTCGCCATCACTGCCTGCAAAACGACAGGAGCACCAACATTCAGTCTCCTCCCTCCTCCACGCTGTCTCTCCCTCCCACGTACACATGACACAGCAGTCGTTAGGAAATAACTGTTAGAAATGTCTGCTGCTTCACTCAGCGGCCTGTTTTTAATGAATCTTTAGTGGGTATAATCTTTCCAAAGCAATAACCCTTAAATGAGTTGTCCACCTTTAGGGATTCATCGATACAGCGGCTGGAAGCTGTCAGGCTCATCTATCACCATCTAAAGCCCTCCTCAGTCAGGCCCTGCTTTGTAACTTACATCTTAAACAGCGCCGCTAACCCTTTATGACACCTCTCAACTGTCAACATTATCTGTCAGCAAGAGAAATAACAGCAGGAACCTCGTTTAGTTTCTGCTGCGCTCTAATAACGGCTTCCCAACGAGTGACTGGGGAGCGAGCTCCCAATAAAGGAAAGGTGTGTTAATCATGGTGCAGCGTGCGGCGGCCCGCCTGCAGAAATGTGCGTCTCAGCACACAGTGGAATCCCGAGGAGTGACCGCTGTCTCATTAAGAGCAAATATGATTAACAGTGATTAATCTAGCGGCTCATTTAAAGACAGGATTCGGAGGCTTTAACAGATGTGCTACACAGCAGCGGGCCGGCGAAGCCTCCCCTGGAAGCTAATTGGGAATCTCCATCATTGCTGTGTGGGATCACCAGTCTGGAACAAGGCGCCACAGGAAAATGAGCCCAGGCGAGGAGGGACAAATCAGTTTTTTCACATTTTTTTTCCTGCTGCCTTTGTTAAAGGCGCTACCTTGGCCGTGACCTTAGATCAGGGAGAGATGCTGGTGCAGATGGAGTCCGGACTGAAGCACCCATAAAATGAGCTGCTTCTCTGCAGGACGAGCTTCCTGAGTCAGCAGAACACAGGCAATCCTATTTAGAGGATGTGTGCGGTTGTGGGCTGAAACTCGCACTTAAGAGTAATGAAAAGCCATTAACTATGCTAAAGAACGTCTTCCCTTATTCCCTTATCTTCCATCCCGATGCTCCCCTCGCTCTCAGGATCTCTCACACTACGCTGCTCTTTTATGATCCACTGTAAATCGCGCCCCACTCCCACCTACATGTGTCCTTACCTGCATGCCCTCCTGTCCCGAGATCCCCACGCCGACGTCCGCCACCTGGATCATGCTGACGTCGTTGGCCCCATCACCTGTGACGAGAGAGGAAACAGTCCCTCAGAACAGGAGTCTCAACATACATTAATGCATCTGATGGGGGTTTATGGAGCATGGCGAAGGGAAGATGGAAAAGACAGTGAATCTCCCTGAGCTGTGCTGTTCTGTGGGAGGAACAGTCGGATTCATCAGCTGTTATATTAGCTGTGTGTTTATTATGTGCTGTTTACTACCTGCCCTTCACCACTGCGCCGCCCCTCACGTCCAGGCATGATGAAGAGCATTTCAGGTTCTGCTCACCACTCTGAAGATGGATTTTTTGTCATCACTACAGGTGGTGAAGTGGGAGATGAAGTGTTGGTGGGCAGAGAAGGTTTTGTTGTCACAACAGTTAATGGCACCGCAGTGGCAGCACAGGCTGAATATGAGAGGTAGGTGGTGATGAGCGCTTAAATAGAAGTTTGTGTTGGCTGGTAAATACTCTCCCAGTGTGACTAAATCTATTGAAGCACACTGGAGTTGCAGCAGTGTAATAACCGCTGCAGTAAAAGCATCTACAACATACTGGTAACTCAGAATAGAAACCAAATCATTAACTGTGCACCTTCTCACCTAATAAATTCATAACAAATTTGAAAAGAGATTAAGGAGTCCCAAAATGTTTAATATTAAATCATTTTAAAACGTATTAACATAAAATAATCAAACGGACAAATTCTGTAAACTATATAAAACAACAAATCAACCAATAATTTTTAAAAACTGTACTTTTAATTTTTACAGTTATTTACAGTTAAGTTTAAAGCTAGAGTGTACGTGAAAAAGTCTTTGCCAACCAAGTTCAAACAATACTGATAAAGGCTCTGCCACAGGTAAATTTCTGCAATTCACAGCGAACCACAGTTTTAAATCTGATGCCTACATACATTCCTGCATTTTATGTCAAGAATCAATGATTGGTTTGTCAGAGCTGAAGCAGCAGCACCTAGGGGCAGTGTCCCTTCAGGGGTTCGACACAAACTGTCTAATAAACTACTTCTAATTCATCAGAAGTACATCTGCTTATTTCTCAGAATCTATGTGCAAATACTGTGTATTTCTAGTTACTACTTACTAAACTGCTGATTCCTTGTGTGAAACTGAGCATCATTTTACAGCGTGAAGTTCAAATTAAAACGACTGGAGGTTGACTTGTATTTTGAACACTAAATATTATATTCATTGTTAATTGCCAGTCTTGTTTGTTGTTATTTTCTACTGATGTTCTCTACATGTTTGCACTATTCTCCTTTGCTACTGCACGTTTCCCTGCTGTGGCATTAATAAAAGCTTATCTTAATTAATGTTTGATACAAAATGCAAGAAAAAAAGTGAGAAATGCCCATTGCAATCTTTCACATCACTTGAAATGGCTTGTGTTTGTCTAAAAACAAATAATATTCAACTTAAAATGATATACAACAGAAAAAGCACACTTAGGAACCAGGTATCTGAAAGTGTTGGTGATTGATTTTGTGCCATTTGACTAATTAATTAGTCGGATCAGCCTTATGGGTGTAAAATATCATTGCCTGTTTACAACTTTTATGCAGCAGAATTGACATTTTTTGCATCTTTTTCTTGTAGTCTTGATGCAACAAAAAGCCAAATGATAACTATAATTACAAATAAAAGGTTAAAGCCCTGATACAGTAGCGTTTCACCCTCCTCTGCCGTCCCCTGAGATGTAACATGAAAGAGGTGCGAGGAGCTGCAGCGTTTCCTCCATGCTGCTGCTAACAGAGCAATGACAGGAAAAACGCTGGGCTGGCAGAAAAACAGATCCTCCTGTGTGCAGCGGGAGCAAATAAAATGGAAAACACGGGAAAGACAATTATAAGTCACGCCGACATCCTCATGTCACCTCTGTTACGCAGCGGCTTCATTAAGCCCTGGTGCATAATTACTAAGAATAACGCCGCTTTTCAACTGAGTGGTCACAGCAGAGGTGTGTATGATGAATGGGTCACCTCGATACAACCTGCATTTCAAAGTCAGCTTATATTGACACAGCAGAGGGAGAACAACCAGGAGCTCCTCCACGTCTGACTCATACATTTTTCAGGACATTCCTGATAAAAAAGAAACATGATTTAGCAATAAAGGACTTTAAAGATGCAGGATGTTAATGAGGCTTGAAGACAAACCTGTGGAGAATCTATTAAGTGTAGAAGCATGAACTGCTACTCAGCTATTTGACAGTGATGAGCTCTATGAACTCACTGAATTATAAATATTTCTGTTTCATAAGCCGGCCAAAATGTGCAACATTTGGGCATTAAAATTTTACAGCTGTTCAGATTTTAGTTTTTAACACCTCACCTGAGCAGAAAGTACACAAACTGATTTTTTTATTACACTGTGGTCAGGTTCAGACTATGTGGGCATGAAACTGAAAATAGTGTAGGAATGTGTTTGTTTAAAAAAAGACTAGTGTATTCACTGGATAAAATCCAGCAGAGGCTTTAGTAGGATTTAGGAGTTATGTAGAATTTGGTGTTACAGTCTATGATCAGTTAGCAAAGTGGCTGTAGATCTGAAATCAGTGACTGTGTTTCCACTTGAGGACTTGATGTTTTTGGAGTATTCCATTTTGGGCTTTGCACATGTAAACATCATGCCCTGATGTCAGAAACCTGGATGAGCGCTTATTCTGGCTTTGACAAACCTAATAATGACAGCTGGAGTATGAAAGAAACCATGATACAGTGGGATGGACACATCTTATCCTGACTTCGGCTCACTGCAGCCTCTCTGTGCAGGCACAACTTGCTGCAGTGGTTTAGTGAAACTGGTTAGTAACCAAGCAACGCTCCTCACAGCTGCCGAGTTTGTCCAACACCACGCTGACTCTCACTGACAGCAGAGCTGGAACTAATACTGTTGTTCAACTGTGTCACACATCGAGTAAAAGGATGCCTTAGGCCTGGGCAATAAATCGATCTATCGGCAATAACACTTCATCAATAGCAATAAGAAAACTGTTTGATAGTTTAATTTAAATGCATTTGACAGAAACCACCATGAAAGGATGTAAAAAAACAAAAAGTTTGGTTACAGGAACAAACTCCAAACACAATCCCTCCCTGATTCAGGAACAGTCTGTCATGTCTGGTGCACCTTCTGGTTTTACTTGCTATCTTTAATTCAGAAGTATGAAGATGAGATCATTTGTGTATATATTTCTATTTAGGTGTATTATTTAATTTATTTGTGTGTTTTTAATTTGTTGCGTTAACATTAAAATTATGATCTGCGTACTTGAACAGACCAAAGTGGCTGAAGTCAAAGTAATGTGACTAAATTCAACAAGTATTTTATTTTGTCGTCTTTATTAAAAATAGACAATTTCTAATAATTATTCATATCAACTGAAATGAAATATTATATCGTGATACATTTTTCAGCTGAAAGTTTTCTCTCAACTCACTGAACTCCACCATGACGACTCTGTCTGACAGGTCGCAGCTGCATATTTTCATCCACCGCTTCTTTGTCCTACACAGTAACAGTAACAGTAACAGCCTGACACCAGTCAAAGTGGAGAACACATTTAACATTTCCTGTTGTTCTTGTCTAGCATTGCTAGAAAAAAGGTGGATAAGCCAAATCTGTAATAAGTGTGTGACAAGCCAGATTAGGCTTATTTTCAATAGCCACAGTCAAATTAATTTAAAGTTTGGCACACAGTTGCAGGAATATCAGATTAAATGGGCAGTTTGTGTTTAACATCACAGTATGCAGTCATCATTATCTATCATGCATACAAAGAAATAAACAACCATGTCTATGCTCCATATAAATGCCATATGTTGAACATAATTAGTGCAGGATAAGCTTCCCAACAGGACACTGGTGTGTATGTAAACACAATCCAATTAAAACTCTAATGTAGAATATGTTTTAAAGGTGCATTCCAGCTTTATTTACTGCTCTTGAACAATGCTGGAGGTTCTACACAGTCCTATCACTGTAACCTGACAAGTTTACATGTCCCCAAAAAGTCTGATCTTGAAAGTCATGTCCCAACGTGAACTCGTCCTTATAAATGAGAAGTTCTAAATGTGTGCTCTCTGGAGAGCCGAATAGTTCGTCCACTACACTCCCTCAATTAATCATCAAAGTGTCAGTGTAAGCCCCTCATGATACTGGTGCACAGAGCCAGACAAAGGTTTTGGACACACCGACTCATTCCAAAGGTTTTTCTTTACTTCACTGTGTTCATCATAGAACAAAGCTGATTAACATGAAATGATGCATATGGAATTATTTAGGGACCAAAAAGAAAACAAAGGAGCTATCGCCGGCATGGAGGCATAAAGATGTTGTTTCAGTGTCCCGCAGCTGACATGAGCAACATTTTGAGAACAGTCTCCACACGTCAGTGTTTTTTGTGAGAGTCTGACTAAAATCTGATTCTGGTAAATGTTACTCCTCAAACAGATGGGAAATGATCTGGAAGAAAGACTGGATGCAGCACCTGTTTCATCAATTTCACAAAAACACATTCAGTACTAGCAAATGTGAGGCTCAGCACTGGTACCTTTAACAGAAGCAAGACAGTTTTCCAAGTAGTCTCGACATTTTAAGCCTAATAAAGATTGAAAAGTGCCTAAACAGAAATACCTTACCACCGTAAAATATTAAAAACTTCAGGCGAGCCAACCTGAATTTTAACGAGCTACTATAGAGTGATTTTCATGCCGATTCTTTTCCCCGTCAGCAGCTGTGGGAAAGTTCAGGCGTGTTTTGATCTGTCTGGACGCTGTCAGATTGTACATACTGGTGATAGCCTGCAGGTTCCAGTCTACAGCTTTTAGTTTCATCTATGTAATGTAAAGGAATGTTTTATCACAAATGTAGACGCTAATAGGCCCAAATTCTTGTGTCTGCCACTGCAAACACATGCAAGCATGAGATGAGAGAATGAATTCTGGAGCTCAATTGAAAAAGGTTTTATCTCAATCAGAATGTGTTTAATGATGCACCGTTGACCTGACACTCACCTATAGCCAGAGTCATGACCTTTAGCTTGTTCCGCACCAGTTTGACCACCATGCTCTTCTGCAGCGGCGTCGATCGGCAGCAGAGAACCGAACGGCAGCTCCGTGCAACGGCCAGGAACTTATCCTCCAAACTCTTATCCAGCGCATAGGCCAAGGTCCGTCCGTCAATCACCAAGCCCAGCCGGTGCACCAGGAAGGGAGCGGAGTGGGAGGATGAGGAGGACAGAGACGAAGAGGGATAGAGGTCAAAGGGCGAGAAGCTGGTGTGGAAGGCCTTGGCGGTTTGGTCTGCGGAGCTGCAGAGGAATTTGGCCTGGATGTAGTGTAAACTCTCCTCCAGCAGCAGCGCACATGCCTCCTGGTTGGGAAAGAGGCACAGAGTGGGTTCAGCATCAGGACACGGTGTTGTTTAATATCAAACCTCCCCGACCTGCTTCACATCTGGAAACCAGATGCTTCAACAGCACAGAACTAAACACTGTGGCTCCTGAACGAACCATCTCACTTCATTAAAGGTGAGTTTTCAACGAGGAATTGAGAGGTACAAACTCAAGATATATTGTGTTTCAGGCTGTCACGAACATTAAAATGTAATGATTTAAATGTGTTTCCGTTCATTTTACGCCTCTATTAGTTTTGGATTAGCTGTATTAGCCACTTTGACCGTCAACTGTTTGCTGCAATTCAACAAATCCCCAACAAAGATATTGTAATCTCCTTTCTAATTTGCCTAAAACCAAAATGTGGTGTTTGATTTTGCAAATAAATCCATAAACTGCCAACTCAGTGCAGACAATCTCAGAACAAGCAAACAAGCATATTTATAGATCTTGTATTTACCACATATTAGTAGCTAACCCAAATGAGAAAAAACATTTTATTTTGGGTGCTTGTCATTCAACTTTGACAGGGTTATGAGATTCTGGATGCTGCTGCTGCTGCTCACCTGAGAGTCAGCATTTAGCGTCAGGATCTCCTCCTCGGGGTCCAGCAGCTTGCAGGCATACGCAATGTTGACGGCTGTTTCCTGTTTGTCACCTGTCAGCACCCAAATCTGCAGGCCGGCCTTCCGCAGAGAAGCTATAGTTTCGGGAACACCATCCTGCAGCCGATCCTCAATGCCTGTTGCTCCTGGAGGTGAAGGCACATCAACATTCGGGTTATATACTCAATAAAATGTAGAATAGTTCAACTCCCAGCTACAAATGCAGGACAAAAATCTTGTGAAACCTACCCAGGAGCTGGAGGTTTGTCTCCAGTCGCAGGGCCGACTCAAACAGCAGCTCTTCTCTTCCCTGAATGGCCGTCTCAGCCTCCAAGTGACGCTGCAGCCAGCAGGCGTACTCCTCCTGGCTCAGAATCTGACACAAAACACCAACATTTACACACACACACAATCATATGTTCGAGTATTGAGGCTAAAAACTGAACAGTTGAGCAGCTTCTCCTTCTTTGCCCGCACGGTGGAGGGAGATCCGCGGATCCAGAATGTGAGACCTTGACAAGGTGTTTCATCACTTTGTGTCGGTGGCGGAGCTTTGCAGAAGCAGGAATATAATGAGCCCGGCTTGTGAGAGCATAAATTAACAGGCTGGGAAAGTGGCACAGATTGCAAGCTGAGTCACAAAGAATGTCACTTTTGGAAGGGCCGGCCCATGTGATCATCTGTGCCGGGCTACAAACGCATCCTGCCAAAAAGCCACTGAGACGCAGCATCTCCTTCTCCGTCTGAAGCAGTGTAATGAGCGACGGCAGTTGTTGCAAGGTTTATGGATCTCTGCTTGCTTACCTTTTTTGCAATGCACAGTGTGCGAAGGCCATCTGCTGCGTATAGGTTCAGGTAGTTCTGAGTCCTGCAGACGATCTTCTTCTGGCGTTTCCCTTTGGAGTTCCCTTTGGAGTTAAACAGGAAAGCACAGAAGAGTCAAGATTTAATTTTTCTTGTTTTTAGTGAAATAGCATAAGTGGTTTAGCATTTTAGTTTCAAATGATTCTTCCAAGAGGCACATAAAAGCCGTCTGTCCTCATACCTAAATCAACCATGTATATTGTACATCAATCTAGTTCTTCAAGTCTTCATGTTACTGATATGTGATTAAAAAAAAAAAAAAAAAGATCTCATTTTACAACCAGAATGAGCCTCTTTTAGTTGCCTGTCTAAATGATTTCATTATAACTGCATGTTTTGTGTTTTTTTTGAAGTATCATATTTTGTAGTGAAGTCCTGCTGAAGTGTCTCTGTGGCTGCAGCATCTTGGCCATCTTTCTGGCAGGAGGACAGCACACAAACAGATTGGCTTTATGGGTCTCCTGACACAGATGCACCAGCCAACACTCTGATTACCATCCATGTAATCTCAGTAATAACACGACAGCTTGGCAGGCACAGCGACACATGAACCGCCACGCAGAATTACTTTTTTACTGAAAGGGACAAATCAACGCAATCAAAAAATTCCAACAGGAAAAGTTTTTGGTTTTGTTTTTCTTAGAAATATAAGAGTATTTGTATTCACAACTGACTTGGTTGTCTCATAAAAAAGTAATATTTACACTATAGTCTCTTTTCTCTTTGGCTCTGGAAAAACCATGAGCTGCTTGGACCAGAAGGCCGGGCAGAAACAGGTGGAACTTTACACAATGTTTATTTTTCCTGCCCCCGAAAATGGGAAAATCCACCTCAAGCAGCATTTGAGTCCTGCGTGATGAAAGTTCCCTGAGGAGATTTGACAGCTATTAACGCTAAAGAGCACCATGTTAATGTGAGGCGCCCTGTTGTGATGTCATAAATCTTTGAGCCAATGAAAGTCAACCAATCACCAGGGGGCACCAACATTTCAAAAAAGCAAGTAAAGATAGAAGTAAACAATGCTTTCATTAAATGCAAGAAAATAAGGCAGACTTATATGATAGTATCATCATCATTTAGGTTGATATGGCTAATATGTTAGCAAAGGCTTACCCAACCACATATTGTGCAGATAAAGAGCAGCACTGGCGTTCATCAGTAGTCTTGTCTGTATGCACCAAATGGATTTAAGGGTAATATTTACCTTCCTTCTAGTTCTGTTTTGGTCTCTGTGAACTCCTGGGTGAACTATCCATCTGTTCAGCTGCAAAATGCTACACAACATACACAGCTAGTTGCCAACTGCTAGTTTCAACAGAGCTTATATTAGTATATAAGATAAAATATATAATATTGTTGATCAATACTGAGACCCTGATTGTTGTTTGATTGTAGGGATATCATATCTTTATTGCACCGTCACATTTAAATAAAAAGAGCACTGCTTTCACTTTTCGTTGTGTTGCATTCCTGCAAAACTATTTATATCAAAATAAGACTCAAAATAAGTTCTTCACTTGAATTCAGTACTTCTCCAAGAGGCAAAATATTCAAAGAAAATCGTACCCTAAATGCCAAAACAAAAATACACAGAAAAGTAATCTACATAGATTTCTGCTAAATAATATAACCCAGACTCATGGCGTTTACTGTAACTGCATCAGTTACTGCTGTGTGTAGTTGGCCTGTAAAGACCCACTGTGAGCCGAGAAAAACCCTGATAAGTGCCGTATTCACACCCTTTACAGCTCTGTCTTGATCTCTATCAACTCCCCAGAGAAACATCTCCCCCCCAGCATCTAGCTCTACACAGTACTACGTCAAGTTTACCAGCGAGTTGCTAAGTGTGTCTATTTGGTTTTAGGTCGTAATTTGCTTTCAGGATCATCTACAAGTGGCTGGAAATGAAGGGATAAGAGTGGCTGGAGTGACACAAAACAGTAAAACGATGAGCTGAAAGGTGCTGAAACACTACTCAGTTGGGTTAATAATGATTTCACATTCTAAATAATCATCTAATCCATTTTTGATATAAAAATATTGATAATTGGAGCTTTAACAAGCTGTAAGTAACAAAACTTCAATGAAAATCATTAAAATGAAAGTTCTGTTTTAAGGTGGAAGCTGCAGTTAAACAGGCCTCTGCAGCAGGAACCAGACTTGAGTTACATCATGAGACTCGCACGCTTCACTCAGGAGCCCTGAGGGTCGACAGTCCACCTCCAGCACCTCCACGTGCACTGTTATTAGAGTGACACCGAACTACTCCCTCATCGCCTGAATGGAGCCATTATGGAGGTCTGTGTTACGAGGAGGTTCAGCTCATACTGCGCTCTAATTGGCTGCTTTTACCCAATGGTGAAACACAGTAGTGAGTCGTCTGTGTGAGGACACGCCCCGTCGGCCATTAAAGCCGCTCAGCTGAGACACAAGGTGGAGGAGTGGGTGTCCCGGTGGAGACTCTCTCCTCTACTGACCAGCATCGCTCTGAATTTTAAGTAAGTGAAAAACTTTTAAATGCCACACTGTGCCAGCTCAGGCATCGCTCTGAACAGGGCATAAAAAAATGATGAACAATCAGCAAATGCGAGAGGGCTGCATGGTCCTCATAATGGAAAATCAATACAATAAATCACATTGTAATTCAGAATTCCTGCGAAGAATAAAACTGCACGTCAGCTGGAAAACATGCCAAAACTAGATGGGAGTGCTTTCCTCCGCTGATGTGTTGCAGTTAACAAGTCTTCATTCAGTGTAGGAGGATAATTGAGCCAGAGAGCCATTTTTCCATGAAGCCGAGTCGCCTTGTTGAAATGAACTGCCTGCCTCTAATGACGAGGAGGGAGCCGCTAAGCAGGCACGAGAAATAAATGAATTACACACAACACATGACAGCAGGCTTTTACTGAGAGGAAGTCGAGACAAGTTGCCGTGCAGGTTGATTCATTCCATCAGAATGTAAATACGGAGAATATACGACTAGTTTACAGGGCTTGTACACCAAACACCACATCATGAAATGAAACGTGTATCTTCCTAAATCATGGTCAGTATGTAAAGAAAAGGAGAAGTTCTGATACCTCAAAGGTACACTCCAGTGATTAAGTGCTGCCCTTTAAAAAGAACGATAAACAGGAGAAGCAGGAAGTACTTCTTCTACTCAATGTGTAACCGGACACAAAGTCCAGGACCTGACACAAAAACACTACAGTAAATTGATATAATATGATACGATACAATTCAGATTGTTCACATGATACCTCCGCAACATTACACTGCAGTCCACAGAATATAGAGAAGTTTGTAAAATATATATTAAGTCATTGTCTAATGTGTAGTAATAAAGTTCCTCTTCAGACATTAATTAAACCCCTAAAAACTCATCTCTGTGCGTCAAAATTATATGTGCATGTTTAAAAAAAAAAGAAAATAATCCGTATCTGCTTTAAATTGGCTTTGATGTAACTCTACATTGTTGCTTCCTGTAGCGTGTGCAGATCTTTGAAGTCCTTGCTGCTTACTGCACACCTCTCCCAATTTCCTGCAGCTCGAGCACACCAGCTCACCTGCAACTCTGCTTGCACACTGTAAAACTACTCCATGCTACAAGATGGAAAGTTGTAATATTCTAGTCATTCAGCCATACAGCGATCAAACTGGAAACTGATTCGAAAGAAGAATAATGACACAGGAAGCTCCACCCTGCAAGTGGACAGAATTAGTTCCTTAGATTTGTTGAAACCCTGAAAGTTTGAATCAGTGTTTTTGGGACACTGACTCCCTATTTGGCTGACGATATGTGTTCCAGTATATAAAAAAAAACACCATGTGGACTCTGAAAAAGGTAAAAGACAAAAAAAAGAGTCTATTTTTGATGCCTTTTTTTGCCACCTTCTTACTTGTTAGGGACAAGGACACGTGACATTGAATCAAAACCTGTTGTGTTAGGTGCTCAGCCTTAGACCGTGCACTCTAACAGGCTAGCTACCAAAGCACCCTACAAATAAGTTATTCTAATGGAACTGGCATACTTGATGTTCAGCCATCTGTAGTTATGTGGGAGTTGGGAATGTTGTGGAGTGACTGTGTTCATAGTTGTCCTGAAGAGGGCTGCAACTGGCAAATATTTTCATTGTCAGTTGGTCTGTCACTTATTTTCTTATCAGTTGATTGGTCTGTAAAATGTTCCATGTTCCATTTTCCCAAAAGCCCAAAATGACAAATGTCTTGTTTTGTCCACAACTGAAAGATATTCAGTTTACTATCATGTAGGAATAAAGTAAGCATAAAATATTCAAACTTAAGAAACTGGACTTTTTTTCCCCCTTTAAACCAATTATTCCATAATCTAAAAAGCTGGCATTTCATGTAATAGTTGAAAAGTAATTGATTGATTAATTGTGGCAGCTCTACAGTCAATGCAGATTTGGTCTGTTTTTTGCCAGAAGGGCTGCAAATAATCATTATTCTTATTGCTAATTAGCCTGTCAATTATTTGCTTATCTAACTGATTAGTTATTATGTCTAACAAAAGTCAGAATATGGGGAAAACATCCCAAAGTGTTCTGTCGACAACTTAAAGATATTAAGTTTCTGTCATATAGGAATACAGAAAGCCAGAAAATAATTGCCTTTATGAAGCCAATTTTTCCTTTTTTTTCCCTTTAATCTATCATCTAGATAGTTACACATCAGTTTTGTTTGGCTATAATTGTTTAGTGTCTCTCTTCCTTTCTGTTGATTTGCATATCTGCATACCATTAAAATAATATAACACAATATCTGATTTTGTTAAATATGTGACTCGTCGATCTAAAGAAATCGTGAGCCAGTAAACTGTTTGAGTCATTTCACAATCAAAACTGCCAAATATTTTCTGATTTTGGCTTCTCAATTCTTAGGATTTGCTCCTTTTGCTGTGTTTCATATAATTTCATTAACTTTTCTTTCAGTCACAGACTGTTAATCAGACAAAACAAGCAGCCTATACGTTACCTTGGAGTCAAGGAAATTGTGAATGGAATTTTAGCGAATAAACCTTTATTCAAGAAAATATAATGATGAAAATGATCCTTGGCTGCAGCCCTACAAACAGCATGTTGTGTTAAGCCTTCATGTGGGTTGAAACAGTCCTTGCTAAGCACCGCTGGACAGATGATGTCTGGTGACTGTGTACAAAGCATTAGTGAAAAGTGCCTGTGTGGCTCTTTGTGTGCCTGGAATACTAACAACCTGCTACACCTTTGCCATTAGGACATAAAAGAACGTGTAGGAGATGGAACAAGGGGGGAAAAAAAGGAGGAAAAAATGCACAAGGAAGTTGTTTTGAGAAAGCCGTCAAGGTAGGCATTGAGTTTAGCAGCTCTAAAAATACAAGTTCTTACATAACGTGACTTTATATGTTTACCTCAGTGGAAAGCATGAAGGTTCGGGGAGGCTGGCTGAGACCTTTAGTGTGCTATAAAGACAAAGAGCACCTCCCTGTGCAGGCATCCACACACCATCAAATCAGTTTTTTTTCTTACCAAACTCCTGCTGAAAACAAATCATTCTGGACTGAGTAAAATGAAACTATTCTCATTACTGACATGTCCAGTAAGCACACGTGCCATGTGAAGATTACATTGAATGATTTGTGGCAGATCTCCACCTCACAGCCACAATTTATCACGTCTGGTGGAACACGGTACAGCATCTGTCACACACCAATCCAAAACACTTAACAGCCACATGCCAGCAGCGGCGTCATCATTTATCAAGAGCGCACCAACAATAAATTCACCTTCAACTTGCCAGCGATAATCTAACAACAGCTAAAGTGATGATAAAACCATTATTTTCTTACCTGTGTCGGGGGGTTTGATGAGGTCCATGATGACTGAGTCGGCTCCTTTAGTGTAGACGGTTATCTGATCCGTCAGAGGGTGTCGAACCACCACAGACATGCGTTTCCTGGTGGAGTCGAAGCCCAGAGTGTGCAGCAGCTCAAAGCTCAGCTTCCCCAGGTGAGGCAGCTCCACGGTCACCTGGTCGGGGAGGCGTCCCACAAGGGAGCACTTGTAGGCCCGGGCGGCATACACCAGCGCAGCCTCGTCTGGTGACTCCGCCTCATAGCGCAGCTCTCCTTCCTCAAGGTTCCAGGAGGCCTTTCCGTCGTAGCTGGGTGGGACGGGGCTGAAGGCAGTCTCCAAACCTCCAGAGGAACGCTCCTCGTGCAGCTTGGTGAGCGTGCTCTCTGCCGAGGGGGAGGACAGCAGGCTGGAGCATCCCTTGTTGGACGAGCGGTTGGTGATGAGGCTGGAGGAGCTGCTGCTGTTGGAGCCGGAGGTCAGCCGGCTCGGAGTGAAGCGTTTGATGAAGTCCTCGATGGTCTTAACTGGGGACTTCAGCTCAAATCTCATCCGGACCTGGAGGACAAGAAAAAGTCTGTCAATCACACCTGCAGCATAAAGCAACAGAACGTGATCACAGTAATTTACTGTTGCCCTCTGTGGCCAACTCTCTGATTTATACATAAAATGCAGCAGGGCCCCGTTTCCTCCTAAAAGTCAGTCTTATCTCTCCTCAGTCCGCAGCTATGTAACAGTGATTAACAGTTCCCATTCCTGAGTGAATGCAGACAAACCTCACATATCTCACCCCAGAGGGAAAATATTATTACTACAAAACATACAACATTCCATTTTTAAACAACATGTGTTTCTCCCACTGACCTCCCTGCTCTTTCTGTTGGACCACTTTCAACAATTTTCCAAATAACTGTTTTACCTGTGTTATTTTTTTCCCAATTAGTCTGAAGATTTAATTTTTAATTTAAGACTTAAAAGTCTATTATACATGATTTGGAGGCATTTTTTTCAGAGTTTTTCAGTAGGAACACCTGTAAACTACTACAGCAGCTTTGCCATTCATTCTACTTTTACACATCTTCTACATTTTCAGTTTGTGTTGAGATCAAATAAGATGATAATTGTACTTTATGTTCATTGTTGAGGTTACAGTCATTTTCAGTGTACTGGACTATATTACATTAAAAGAGTTTCTAATAATTTGTCCACTGTTCACATACATGAGGGGAACAAAATGTCAGGCAGAGATAAACTACAGCATTACCGTTACGAGTTTAACTGACGCAAGTGGTGATATTCGTAAGCTTTTGTTGCAATTTTGCAGCATTTCACACAAAACCCTGCAAAAAACAAAAAAGAAAAAAAGAAAAGAAACGAAAATCATTACTGTCTCGATCAGAGGGCTGCTATCAGCAGCTTAAAATAAAGAAGAAAATTACACATCAGTAACATCAATGGTTGGGTTTTATAGGTTTATATAATGAAGAGTTTTATTCTACACGTGCATATGAATGCTCTCAAATTCAAAAATTTTCCCATAGCAGTGCTTCAGAGCAGCTGTGCACCCACTCTGTTAGGAGCCTAATGTGAGCTATGAAGCAGCTGATACAGAACACACTTTAAAGTTATCAGTTTAACTGTCTGTAATGTAACCTTTATTAAAACTGCAACTAAATGAAGAATCATTATTTTAAGAATGCAAACATGATGATAACAAGACTCCTCCTCCAGCTCTTAACTCTCTGTCTTAAGCTGCTTCCAAAATACAAGTCGAGCACATGCATACAATTCAAACATGCAAAAATAGTCAAGCTGAACGTCTACATCCACTTGTCACCTCGCTTGTGATTCGAATCCCCCTTTTACTAAATGAGAGTCCTGTTTACCCTATTGTGCCACCACCTTCTACTTACATCACAGATTATAAAGTATGAGAGGAATAGATTTACGATGTCCCAATACATAGCATGTCAATGAATTATGCCAAAAACATCAAGATATCTAGTAAATGGGGTCAGAATTTGCAGCATGCAAACCTTAGCATGCTTTTCTGGTCATTCAGACCCGCAATCCACTATGCAGTTACGTCACATATGTTGCTGTGTGTCGAGTATAAACAAGTCTGAGCTGCTGAGAGAGCACAGACACATGACAGACTGTGGCGATCCACGCTTAAGACACAGTATTATGATGACGTAGTATGTTGTAAATGTACGCATACTGCATCAAACAATCCTTACTTTGTGAGAGCAGCTGCAGAACAGACTGAAAGTAAAAAGAGAAATGCAGACTTTCCTGCTGTTTATAGTATCGCACATGATCTGTGTGACCTCTGCTTGACAAGTCATTTTTGCCACTGATGTGAAAAAAATACTGCCTACCGCAGCTTTAACAGAGAGCATCTGTGGCCAGGAAGAAAGTACAGAACAAGAAACTTGACTGAAACCAGTAGATAAGGATTACTCATAAATCTATGATAACATCTGAGAGTCTGAATGTGTGTACACTGCTTTTGGAAAACATTTCGCAAGCTTAAGAAGTTCATAAGAGAGATTTTTATCATCTTTTCAGTCTAAACGTGTTTTTGAAAAATAAGTCCCAGGTCTACTGGCACAGAAGACCTCAGCGCTGATGAAAATGCCCCTCCTGGCTATAATCCTTCGGCCAATCCTTCATCCCAAGGTGGTGCAGTACAATAGCAAAAAGAGTGACTCACTTTGAGGTCTCCTGGCAGCAGGAGCCACGGTTCTCACATATACACAAGTATAAATCATTCAGGTGCCGGGTTAGCCACAAGGGCATCATCAGAAAATGTGAACAATTACACTGACACAAAGAACAACAAAGTAAAACAATAAAAAAACAAAAGAAAAGAAAACTTGAGCCTGTATCAGAGCAAGGGCTTTTGTACAGATTTACATTTCTTTCCATCTTATCAGATAACCTCCAAACAGAAATACAAACTCCCATTAATAATGTGTCACTGTGCACAGACTAATCTGTGCAAAACTGTGCGTCTGAGTGGCAGGAGGGTTTGTGGCGAGGAGAGGATATCACCTCCGAACAGGACGACCACACCCAGGCCCGCACAAGAGCAAAACAAAACACGGATACGCAGCTGCGACTGGACCAAGCACATCAAAGATACTCACAGCAGAACAGCGAAAGCTACGTGCGGAACGCAAGCTTTGTTAGATTTTGGAAGGCTTTCCAAATTATATAACAAGCAGCTTGAATTTGAATTCTTTTCGTCAAAAGATGGAAACTACTCCCATGTAGTTCAAAAAAAGATAAACAAGAAATCGGGCAACATAAAAGAGGCCCTCCTGTAAGTGTTTTGGTAGTTTTTGGAAGCATATCTGTAGAATTTTTTGGATCCTCTATTGCTCTCTAGATATTATTTTTGCTTCAGATTACATAGGACTAGTAGAGAAAAAAACACTAGTGATTTGTACTTTGGCTTGTTGTAGGAATCCGTCCTACTGTGACACTGTTTTTTCACAAAATGATGACAGAAATAAAATTTTTTTCGTGTAATAGCAGCTTGGGGCCATGAATCACAAACTTTTTTTTGATTATACCCACTTTAAAGAGAGAAATGTCTACTTGGGATCTCCTAATAGTATTTGTACTCCTGATACATTAGGAAATACACTAGAAAACTACAACTATGACAGTAGCTCCCTCAGGCTGCACCAGGCACTGTGATGCTTTAAGACGAACATAAACATACTCAGCAGAAACAATGTCAATATGCTAATTTTTGCAAGGTTTACTATTTTAATCTTAGTTCAATGTGTTAGCTTGCTATCATTTGTTGGGTCAGCACCACAACCAAACCACGGACTATGTGAGGAGATTCTCTGTGATCCACACCTTGTTTATCATTCAAAGAGTTGTAGTTGAAGTAGTCACTGCTGAACTTTGTTGGTGCTTTGATTTGTACGTGTTCCATCAACAACGCTGAAACATAGTGGGAAGTCTAAATTCTCCAGAAATCCTGTGCTATGTCCGTCCACTATGCTCAGCACCCGCCACATCCGCAAGCACACGAGGGATGGTGAGATGTAAATATCGTCATCTGCCTAAGTCTACGAGAATATGCATGGACCCCACTGTGTTCACACCACAAGTGCAGAAGTGTGCATGTGTGCAATATGTAGATGTTGATCTACTGCGAGTGTATGGAACAGAGTCATCCAAGTGATACAGCTACAGCTACGTATAATCAATGCTACATCATGTGGAAACTACAAAGTCCCAGCCTTTCTGAAACATCCACAAGAGCACTGAGTGATTCTTTGTATTTCCTAAGGGAGGCACCTTTTGGCTACCAATATATACCAACGACTACCTGTTGTGGTATAAATTAAGCCACATTCCCGTCCACTGTCCACATCTGTCAGTGCACAGACATGCTGAAACCATGAATTGTTGGGAATATCAACAAAAAACACTGGTGTAACAGAAATGTGTTTTATTGCAGTAATAACTGTGCAACCCTTCGGACATAGTTTGCAATTTCTTGGGGAGAAACAAAACTAGGGATTACCAGCTTTGGTGTCTAAGATGCTGAACATACAATGATCAGCCACAACATTAGAGCCACTGGCAGGTAAAGAGGTAACACTGACCACATTGTTATGATTCAATGCTTTCCTGGGAAACTTTAAATCCTGGTATTGATGTGGATGTCTTTTCAACACGTACCACCCACCTAACATTGACCAAGCCCATCTGCCATGGGAACAGTGCTCCCGTCGGGGAACAATGTGCCCTAACAAACTGCAAAAACCTTTCAGAAACAGCATGAGGAGCACAACAAAGAGACCAAGGTTTTGACCTAGCCTTCCCAGATCCCAGTCTGATCAATGGAGACCACACCCTGCAACTTACAGGGACCCAAAGGATCTGGTGCCAGACACCACAGGTCCTTTTTGGAGGTCCGTGGATCAGTCAGGGCTGTTTGGCCTCAGTAGGGGGACATACTAAATATTAGACAGGTGGTTTCAGTGTAGGTGATAGGTGTATATTTGTGTCACTCCTGGTGGCACATCACTGTCCTCGTCTCACATTGCCTCCTGTTGCATGTCTACGATGGCAAAATTCATACAAAATACTTATCTTTTCTCCTTTTTTTTAAGGTATCATAGCCAAAAAAGAACAGGGTAAATGAATTATCAATCAAGATGAGTAGATTTGCTGCTGTAAAATGTACCATCACTGCTAAACTCTCTGATAAAAGATAGACTGATGTGGAAAGAAGCTTGTAAGCTGTATTCTTGTGACTCCAGAAGGACAGCACCTAGTCGCTGTTATGCTGTCAGCACGATATCACAAGCTCAGCTTCTACACCAGCAGAACAGACACGTCTATTACAGTAATTAAAAGCACAGCCGGCTTTACCTGCTAGTTAAACACTGCTGTTTATGTTGCCACAGAGAGACACACACAATAACAGAACACACAAGTCTAAGAAAGGCGCCAAACCAGAACAAAGAAGTGTGAAATACAGTAACAGCACAATCAATTTAATAAATATCACCCATCTGGCATCACGTGTTGCCAAATTAAAAGGTAATCTCTTTTTTCCACGCGGAAGGTTTGACTGAATCAGTTTAGCTTAGGGTTACCTTGTGCCTGGGCTGGTTGGGGGAAGACACCACCACCGTGTTGCAGATGGTGAGAGCGATGAAGAAATCGATGGTGTCGGAGAGGTCAGAGGGCAGCTGGGACATGGGCTGGCTGTGGAAGCGCATGAAGTCCATCTGACTGCTGCATTCATTGACTTTGTCTAGAAGCTGAGGGTCAGGGGTGATATCTTTCTCCTGTGGGACAGAGGGGGTTTTATCAGCCAAGAGCCGACAACATGAGGACAGCGAGAAGGTAAAGGAAACTAACCATGGGGCTGCTGAAGGCCGTGTGTTTGGACAGGATGCTGGCTCGCTTGGCCTCCGCCCTGCTGCCCGTCCTGCGGTGGGACTTTGTACTCTGGGAGCGCAGCACCACACGGGCACTCTGGTGGCTGGTCACACTGTCCCGCCTGGGCAGGGTGCCACCGTGAGACGTACACTCCTCTTCCTCAGAATCCATTTCCTGGTACATGGCAAGTCTTTTCGCTGAATAGCACAAACACACACACAATTGACAATGACTTCTGAACCCCAAAACCCAAAAGTGAGGTTGTAAGGCATACTATCTTTAAAGAAGCCAAATTTCACCATTTATCAGAGCCAAAAACGGTAAAAACAGAAAGAATCATCAGATATTTCCTGTCCCACAGTCCTTGAGCTACTCATATTTGACGTGCTGCTTTGTCAAAAAATTAACCAAATCAAAGATCAAAATTGTGACATTTAATGAAAATCATTTTAATCTACATGTCATTTAAATATTTGACAAAAATTAACTGTAATTACCTAACACTAAATATTCTGTGATCCAAAGCACAACTGGAAACCCATTAGGGACTTAGCTGTCACCAACCGCCATGTGACAAAAATTTAGAAAATTCTCAGTTTAACTGCAGGCAGTGTTTACACAGAGCAGACAGAAGACAAGAACAGAAACAAATGCAAAATATAACTAGTAAAGTATATGTAGTATACATATGTAGTATGTGGCACGGACATCCCAAGTCCAATCCCGAGATCAGGATCACATGAATTTTGAAGTGATGGGTATCTGCACATAGCTATTTTCTGATCTCTGATAGTTTATTTACGTCTATTTTTACGCAGTTGTAAGAATGACCGTCAAATGTTCTTCTGAGATGTAGGATTGCTATTTTACCTAAACCCAATGTAATTTATTACTTGTTTGCTGACTTGATGTCAATATGTCTCTGTCACAGTGCTCCTTTACTAGTTACACTTCCACAGTGCTCTTTCTTGCCAACACAGAAATGCCTCTTCCAGATGTTCCAGTATGGAACAGTGAGATGCTTCACCAGGAGCCTATCCTATCCTATCAATAGTCAAAAACACTTGATCAGAACACCCTCAGTATGTATAGTCACCATGTTTTTCAGTATTGTTAACACTTGTGGGCACAATTTTGTAATCTAAGCAAACAAATTCACCTATTTTTTTTTTTTTTTTTAAATCATTTATGGCATTGCAACTTTGTTGTACTGCACATAGGACATTTTTGAGTTCTCTTCATGTGTAGACACCACTGTGCTGTTTCCATTGAAGGTGTGGAACTTTAAATTGCAGTAAAAAAATAAGTCAACAGTGAGTAGAAATGTGGAAAAAATGCACAGAAACTGTTATGTAGAGGGTTACACAAGACAATGAATGCTAACTGTTCCTGTAAGGGTCCGTGTTGTTGTGTTGGCTGCCCTGTCTCACCATTGGCATCATGGGAGTACTCCACCCCGGCCACAGTGCAGCGTCGAAATACCATCTTGTTCTCCGTCAGCGTGCCTGTCTTGTCAGAGAAGATGTATTGCATCTGGCCCAGATCCTCAGTGATATTAAGTGCTCTGCACTGCAGGTGAGAGTCTGTCTCCTCGTCATACAGATCCATGTCCTGGTGGATGAAGTACACTTGGCAGATCTTGACGATCTCAATTGACACAAAAAGGGAGATGGGTATCAGCACCTAGGAGAGGAGAGAGTGTTCATTAAAAAAGACGCAGAGCTACTTATCAGTTAAGTGGATAACCAGTGGATAAACGGTTGAAATACTACGCTTGAAGTAACAAACAAATCAGGAAATTGCTAAAAGTAATGGTTAAAAGGTTATAATAGATAGTTATATATTTAAAAATTGAGTAACAAAGTTAAAAGAGCAAAAAATAATGGCTAAATGGCTATAACAGTGATGGATAAACAGCAGAAATAGCAGAAAGTAACAGATTAAAGTTTTTAGCTAAAAGCGGTGAATAAATAACTGAAGCTGTAAATTAAAAGTGACAGATAAATGATTCAAATAGATACAATTAAATTTGAAATACAGAGCTTCCCAACCCAAACTACTATTATTTGAGATAACAGAAGATAAGAGAGATTAAAATGTGAGTACAAAAAAAATACAGATATGGAAAAACAACAAATACTTTCAGTTGTCAGCTTCAAGTGATAAAAATGGCTTAAAAAAAAACACAGCTAGCTAAAAAGGATTAAACTACTACTTTAAACATTTTAATGTTAGCTAAAAAAAAAAAAAAAAAACAGTAAGAGGAAAATAGAGAAACCACTAAAGTCGTGAATAAGCAGCTGCAGGTAGCTAGCATGGGCAGCTAAAGGTGGTTAGCTAGCTTAAAGTATAGAAAAACAGCTAAGATCGAAATAAAGACAACTAAAAATGTTAATGGATCAATGGTGAAAGTCAGGACACATATAGCTAAAAAATTAATGGGGGGAAAAAAATGAAATACTAAAGGATAAATGGCAAATTTCATCAATTTAAAATATCATTGGTTGAACCAGAGAACTAAAAGTAATGATTGAATTTGCTGAAACAGAAAAATAGCTAAAAATCATAAACAGTTGAGAAGTAAATTTTGAAAAGTTGACTACATGTGTAAAACATATAGCTAAAAGTAAGAGATTAATGGTTAGAGACAGTAGCTAAACACAGTGGATAAACAGCTGAAAAAGTGAGAAACAAGTAACATAAAGTACTAAGTTAAAAGTCCTGGATAAATGGTGCAAAACAAGGGGCGGCAAGCTCATGTGGCTTTGACTACGACAACAAAAATGTTGTGTTGTACTGATACCTTCCAAAACCTTGAGAGCTAAACAAATAATTTATGAGTGTACCGGGTGTACACTTGATTGTTTGAAAATGTTGGTGTAATCCAGAGAGGGACATTTCCAGGCAGCATTTCTGGAAAGTAGTTCCGGAGAAATGAGTCACGGCTTTTGTGAGGGCAGTGAGGTCTGCACACTCTCCTCTAAACGCCAGCAGTCATGTGTTTATTTGAAAGTGTATCAAGACATGTCTGGTAATACTGGTAAATTTCCAGTCCCACATAGTTACTGTTTGTACAGAGAAACCAAAACTCTGCCCTCACTGACTTCTGCTACCTAAGATCAAGGAACTCACACAGCAGAACACGGTGACATTTCACTGACAAGTTTGCAAAGGAAAAACTAAAAAAAAAAACCCAGATCAATAGCTGTCTGCTGTCACTTTGTCCTATTTTGATCCTGTATCACAGAGACGATTTTTGAAGCATGAGGCTTATAATGTGCTTTCTCACGGCTGTTCCAGAATAAACGTGAAGATAAAGATCTAGAGGTCGCCCGCAGCCAGAGGCTGAAATAATACTGCTTTGATTTACAGCAGCGCTTGTGTACAGTGGGATAAAACATTTCAAACTCAGTGATACTGCATGGCTCCTTTATATCTTTTTCTGCGCCTTTGTTTCTTTAAGCTCCTCTCTGTTCCGTACCTGAAAGACGATGATCATAGTGAGGAAGAGATAAATGGCTGACATGATGGGCGATAAGTCCGTCCCCTCTGGACTAAGAACGTCAAACACAGGCCTCTTATCTCCATACTGAAACATCCACAGCCCGTGACCTGGAACAGCAACACCACAAGGTCAACTCATATAAACATTGGAATCAGACACTGTATACTCGACATAAAAGGAGATTTTCTTTTTTCTTTATTACTAGAAAACTGAAGAACGGACTGCAGGGCCGCCCTAACAGCTGTTTACATGGCTGTTACATACCAACAGCAGCAAAGAGGCACAAGACCAGCAGGATGATGACACACCAGAACACATCTACATTCATCTGTCTCTCCAGTTTGCTGCGCTTGTAACGCGGGCCGTTGTTGTTCAGCATGGCTTTGGTCTCATGACCTGCAGAGACACACGGTGTGTTAGTCAGAGGTCAAGTATGTGCTGTTGTGATACATGGCAACGTTGTTATTTTGGGGGCAGACCTGCGTAAATGACTATTCCCACAGCCTCCTCTGTGTTGCGGATGGTGCAGCCTCGCAGCAGCAGGTTTTCTTTGTAAAGTGCATCTCTTCTGCCGCTTCGATGGATTCTGTCAAGTCAGAAGATGCATTAAAACAAAAGTTAACCCACCAGCACGTTTAACAGACTTGTTATCTTTAAATAAATGGCCTAAATAACACCATTTATCAGAGTCAGAAACTGTGAAAACTGAAAGAATCACTTCATTTATTGCGACTTAGTTTTGTTCGAAAAATTAACCAAATCTAAAGTTAAAACCCTCAAAGTTGCTGTATTCTACATGTTCCATTTTAAAATAATGAAAAAAATAAACCATTTGCACCCAAATCTTTGAAAATTTTCAGGGGACCAACAGGCTGTGTTTATGCAGAGCAGAAAGCAGACAAGCATGGAAACAAAAAATATCAGCAGTAAAATATCTGTAGTATGTATGGAGTTTGAAGAGGTTGTGAAAGTGTAAGTACTAAAATATTTACACTATGTTGAACCATTTTCTTCTAGTATTGATAACATCTGCTGGCTCTTGGAAAAAATGTAGTAGATGTGGATTTGATTTTTTTCAATTTTTGGAAAAGTACAGAAATTCAACTTTTCTTTTTTTATGATTTCTGACATTATAGCTTTGTTATACAGCACATAAACTATTTTGGAGTTCTCTCTACTTCTAGCCACGATGGTGCTGTTTCCATAGAGATGCAGGACTTTATATTGCAGTGAAAAATTACACCTGTGATTAAAAATGTGACAGCAGCAGGAGGTTCAGAGGGTTCAAAAATGAACAAAATTCATCTGTAACATCTCACAAATCACATTCACAGAACACAGTGTGTACAGTTTTCACCAGAACTACCTTCAACTAAAGAAACAGTCCACATTTCACATGTCTGCAGCCTCGACCTCTCTCCCCCTCCTCACAAATATCAGTTTAACCTCTGCATAAGCTGCCTGCAAAACCATCACCGTCACCCTCAGGTGAAAACACGGATGTTGTAGGAGAGTATCTATGCGAGAGCCCAAAGACAACATCTGTTTATTCTGCTCAGCACCTCAATCAATCACGCTCTAAAGCACCACGGTCCCCCCTCACTAGGAGCCCTTATCTCAGCACAAATTCCCCCCGATACAGAAGAAGTTACCGTGCCGCCGCTCCACAGAAACCCCCTCGGGCTTCGAGTCAATCAGGCAATTCACTGGCTCATCGCTGACCCCTAGATCTCAGCGGAGACTCGTCAGTTTAAAGCTTGTCAAGCTCATATGGAGAGTCAATGTCATACAAAGAAGGAATTCAGCTCTTAGTCGGCCCACCGAGGAAGTTTAAAGCCCCTCTTAGGGAAAAGCTTTTTAACTGAAAGTGAAATGTATGTTGAGCTGCATTAAATGAAGGGCTGATGTGAACATTGGGGGGGGTGGGCTTAGCTTTTAATGTCTGCCTTAATCCTATTACTAAATCAAGGATTACAAGTGTGTTAGTTAACCTTTAGCTGGGAGAAGTGCTTAATCAGCTCTGTTGTGGCTCCTTTCAGAGTCACGCAACTGTCAGCATATTACCAACATGAATGTTCATCTTTTGGCCTCTGACAACAACCGACCGACTCGCCACCATCACAGACTCACAACAGCGATCCCGAGCTCAGAGCGGTTCACGACACAGCCCGTCCGAGCTCGCAGCCTGCACTGTTGGAGAAATTGATATCACCCGCTGAGACGCAGAGGGCTTTCTGTTCACAAAGGGACTGAGATTAGACTCTGTGTCACTGGTCATAATGTAATAAAACGTTGCTGAGACAAGGCGCTCTGCCCGGTGCTCCGCTGTAGCCTGGCAACTGAAAACCTGCAGCATCTGGCCTCCTTCTGAGCAAAGAATACATGTCATAACCGTCTGAGTGCAGGTGGACATGGACGCTTTAGTGGACGCTCCTCGTCCTCCGTCTCACACATGCTTACCCAACACCTCTCAGTGTGGGAGGACAAAATGAAAACAACATGTAGACACGCCTGGTTCGAATTCACCACTCTGAACGATCTGGCAGCACCTCACTGAGAAACATGTTGGAAGAACAATAACAGCTCTTCACTTTGGTAAAAACACAAACCTGAGAGTGACACGAGAGGATTGATAACATTCTGTCTGCATGGAAAATATGAGATTGCAGGGAGCAGTTTGCTTAGCTTAGCATCACGACTGAAAACAGGGTGCAAACCAAACAGCAAAATGTCAAGACTGCAGTTCTTAAAATGTCCACTTGAGGCTGACTGCAATCCTCATAGACCCCCATGTTAAAATGTCTAACTTTACAGTGTTTCAGCCTGGTACAGAAAAAGGTTTTTGTCTTTCTAGCTAATTTTTCTGTGCATGACGACTGTTGTGGGGTGTATTTTTATATAACACACCCATTTAAATTATATTAAGGCTTAAACTTATGCATGATTAGGAGGCATGGCTGCTTTAAGTGACAGATCAGTGCTGTTACAGGACAGTCCATGACTCAGAGGTGGTTGCATGCCCCACCCTCAGCTCCACCTCTTTGCTAATTTCTGGATTATCCAGGAGTTAGAAGGGATCATGTTGTGCCAAGACGATGACACCACACTAAGCTTCAAAACTGGTCTTCTGGAAAGATAAAGTGATGTCACGGAGGGTTTGTCCTCCGTTACAGTCATCTGTCAAAACATAACAAAATCCTCCAGCTAGCACGTCTAAAGCTCACTAATAGTAATGCATGTGTTCCTGTAGTCTAGTTTTTAGCAGAAGCAACCAGCAGAGACTACAGCTACAAGATGTTAATTAATTAGATATGCTATTGATCTGGATCGTTATCTACAAATCAATGTCTACACCTATGACTTTACTTATTTCAGATGTTACCCTAAGATCCATCAATTAAACTTTAATTATGCAACACTTTCCTAAAAAAAATTAAACTGCAGTTTAAAGCGCTTTATGAGCAACTAACAAAACACAGCATGGTTAAAAATAGATTTAGAGACTCATGTCTACCGAAATAGTGAAAAAAGACAAAATATTTTATGAGTAGATAAGATGACAAAAAATTTATTAAAAATGTAGTCCATCCATCCATCCATCCATCCATCCATCCATCCATCCATCCATCATCTATACACCTTAATCCCCACTCGGGTCATGGGGGGGGGGGGCTGGAGTCTATCCCAGCTGATTTAGGGTGAAGGCAGGGGACACCCTGGACAGGTCACCAGTCTATCACAGGACTACACTTAGAGACAGACAACCAAGCACACTCACATTCACACCTACGGACAATTTAGAATCACCANCTACACTTAGAGACAGACAACCAAGCACACTCACATTCACACCTACGGACAATTTAGAATCACCAATTAACCTCAACATGTTTTTGGAGTGTTCATGTGACCAGGAAAATGCCATGAAAGAATAATAGAAACATTACAACTTTCCAAATCAAATGAAGGGATGAGACCTCAAACTTATCATATATAGTAATTAATTAATACTGAAACACATCTTTGTTTTGTATCCTTTCAGTTACGGGTCAGTATAGACAGAGGTTTCAAAAAGCTAAAGGTCTAAATATGGATAAAACTGTTCACATCAAATATACACGATGACCACCTCATATCGTCCAAACAGATAAGAGAGGAGGACTGAATTTTTCACATACCTACAACTGAAACATTTTCTTACAACACATGCAGGACTGGAAATGGTCGAAATCCAACCACAACAGAACAGTTTATCATCCAATATTATTGCCACTTTACGACTAAAGGAGCTGTATGAAAATAATATGCTATGACATTAAATATAATTTGAAACCTGGGAAAAGATGTGTGGGGAGCCACATTGACCAATTCTGATATTTAGATTGATTCTAAATGGAAGTCAGAGACCAGATTATTGTGGTAACAGCCAAGTTTCCTCAGGTGAGTGTTGGAGAAAATGTAAATCAGAAATTAGCAACCACAATGGTATTTTTTGATCCATTTTTCAATCCAGGTGGGCTTACTGAAGGCTTTAATCTATTTGAAACAAATGCTATTGACAGGCTGACATAAATTGTATTGCAATTACGTGGTTGAAACCCGATGCTGCAGCTGATCCAAAAAGTATGGGACATGCATGAGACGGAACAAATCACAAACACATTACGGCTTCAAACCACTGCTGCAGTGTATGAAATAATGAGTGAAATAAACTATTTTACCAAAAATAATGCAATTAACAGCAAAGTGGCAAAGTCTTACATATTCAGGAAATCAAATGTACCCAACAATCACAACAAACACACTGCTTGCATCAAATATCAGAATTTCCACTGCATCACTGAAGATGTAACAACACTGACTCATGCTGGGGAACATCCAGTGTTTACACAAGAATTCTGGAAAATATGTGTCAAATCAACGCAGCAAAATAGACATAGCCAGACTTCTCATCTGTTGCACGTGTAAAGCACAAAAGAGCATGAATGTAACTCAGCTCGTTAGATCCTCTTTAAAATATAACTGATCAGACGGTTAAAATAGCTGGAAAGCAAACTACATGTCATTACTACAGCGGTCGAATAGTCCAACCAGCTAAATGGCAGCTAGCTTAAATGTCACGAACTCTCTGAACCACAAAACTTGCAGGTGCATTGAAACGACATGTTAGCTTTGAAAAAACAAAACAAATTACACTATTAATCAGGGCCAGAAACTGTAAAAACAATGAGAAATTTCAAATTTTAGATGGTCCTTGAACTAACCACATGTGATGTGGAGTTTTGTTGTGAGAATTTACCAAAGATAAGCTTAAAATCATGATATTTTATAGACATAATTTCAATTCATATCTTTTTTATTTATGTCCGAAATAAACTTTTTATTTTTTTTTCTTAAACCAGATTCTGTAAATGTATATATATCTTTTAAAACTCCTCAGAACACTGATAAGAAGCCATGAGTGATTCAACTGTGACCAACAGACTTTTTGGTTGAGCTGCAGGTCGTGTTTACATCAATCAGTAGAGAGATTGAGAGGAAACTGAAACTTGGAAGACACATTCAGCGTGGTGAAATATCTTTCTAGAGTTGAGTCGCGTGAAAAATATCTAGTTTGTAGAAGTTGTGTAAATTTAAGTACTAATCAAAGAAATTAAATTTTTGTTTTTTTTTCTTCTATGAGTTAGGGCATAATTAACTTTGTTATACTGCACAAAAGCCATTTCTGAGTTCCCTCCACGTCGAGCCATGGTTGTGCTGTTTCCATAGAGGTGCAGGACTTTATTCTGCAGTTAAAAACAAGCTCGCAGTGAGTAAAAATGTGACAAGAGCAAAAAAAAGAAACACCCAGAAACTGATAGGGGTTCAGAGGGTTAACGAAGGAGATGAGTCAGTGTATGAAACTCAGTCACACTCCTTCCTTCCTTCCTTTCTTACGTCTTTCAATACATTCACTGAAGCCAACAATCATGTATGTACATCTTGGGAAAACACCCTTGACTATTTCCACTGCAGACAGAAAGGAAGAGAGACTGAGAGTGAAAACACAAGCTAACTAGCAACTACAGTTTCAGCAGTGAAGTTGCAAAGAGCAGATGTACGTTCAGTTTATTCTGGTCATGAGGAAGCACATACATCTTCAAATGTGCCTGGTCAAAACCCTCCAAACCACATCCCAAGAAGGCAAATCGTAATCCTGACTTGGAAAAACTGTTCAAGTCATAATTATAAGTTGGAAACTGCTGGCTTGTCAACAAACCGCACGTTCACATTATTTCCAGTCTGAAGCTTAGCACTGCATTAATTTACTGTGAAACGAAAATGAAACCTGAAACCTCTGATGACAGTTAACAAAGACAAAACCTGAGCATGCTGTGTTGAAATCGATTGTTTGAAAAGTCGCGGGCAGCCACCATGGGCAGCGATCAGTACTCACATGTAGCCTCTGAATCTGTTCAGGTCGTTGTTGGGCTTCTCACATTCAATTATGCTGTTGTACTTTAAGGGGTCGAACTCGCAGTCCTGCAAACAGAAAACAAACAGCTGATTATTAAGGTGAAGAACGCAACACCTCAGCAAAGGAGCTCCTAATATACAGAGTGTTTAGTGTGTGTTATACGAACATCTGGGACGGGCAAAATATTAGAAAAACTGCTCCGTATAATGAAGTGCAATTACACATATTTTCACAAACAACCTCCAAAAGAACAGTTCATCAGGAACGCAGCATGTATTGCAGGACAATGAGAAGCTTGTGTAGCTTATATTAGGTGACTTCTAGAAGTATTTATTTCAATATTTTTAACTCTTAGTTGACCGATAGTGCAGTTAAAGTGTATCATATATAAAGAACTTTCTTTGTGTAACTTAACTTGTGCTGATCTCAAACTTAAAAAGCAACCAGAAGTACAGCTTTTCACACAGTAGTCATCTAGTTTGTTATTTATTCTAGCGCTGGGAATAAACTAATCACTTCAGGGTTTTTCCTGCATGGAGGAATTCTCTGCAGTGCTCCAAAAATTTTTTGTCAGTTCCAAACTCTTGAAAACTTCTTATTTTAGCCTTTTTTTAAATTTTTTTTAATTGGGGCTTCATTTACTCAAACATAACAGTCATTTCAGTTTATCAGATAATCAGAACTAACAAAAAAGGCATAGATCTGAGTCAAATAAGTCCCACAGAGTTCCTGTCTTCACACTACGTTGACTGAACTCACTTACTCTCTTGTGTTGTCACCCCTATAAGCTCAGTCTGAGCCAGGAAAAAGCCTGGTATGTAAATAACTACTGTATCATCACAGGAAGTGGAAATAAAAACATTTAGCTACGGTGAAGAGGAATGACGTGAACCATAAATGACACACATAACTTCTGCCATTTAACTTTCAAAATGTAAAAATGATTAAATGAAAGTGGTATGTTAGCATCTTTGTATGGTTAACACTACTTTTCAAAATGTCAGCTTTCCAGCACAGGAACTTGGTTCAGGTATGATGTGGCGCAAACTTGTACACAAACAAACACAAATTTAGCCTTTTAGGTCTTTCTGTTTTCTTTGCAATGTAGAATCCGACAGCTACTAAATAACAAAAAGAGAGGTAACTTGATGCAACCCCAGTTCTATGAGCATGTAGGATATAGAACAATTGAGGGTTCTTCATGTTAGTCCAGATGGTGAATTTTACGATGTCGATGGCCATGTTTGAGAGGAAAAGAACGCCGCTTCACAAGGATATCAAGACGACAAAAAAATGTCACTTGTTCTCTCCTCCAAGTTGAATCAATCGCGTTTCACCACACAAGGCCATTCTAAAGAAGCTACAGCAGAAAAGCTTTCTCTTTGTAAACAGTCCTGAATGAAGTTCTAAGGAGGGTTCTTGCAGTCAGAAAACACACAAAGGTTTGGGCCACCCTAAAACTGTTCCTGCAGTGGAAAACAGCCTGAAAGCAACTGGAATCAATTTGTACTGATGTGCGAAGAAAATCTGTCCAATCTTATGAGTGTTTTTTCACCACAGGGGAAAAAGCAGATAACAAACGGCTGACAGAACCTTAGTCCCTTTAAAAGCTTCCAGTGACTTTGGTGGAATCTCAGCTTCAGGTTTCAATCTAACATCTGTAACCACATTCACACAATGAAACAGCTGGAATCACAGTAAACCAAACCACCAAATCTCATCCCAAAAAGCGGACAGGAAGCGAGGAACATCTGTCTCACCAGGTCGAAGAAGCTGCGAACGACCTGCCTCTGCTTGAGGTTGGTCTCTCCGTCCAGCGTGGCCGTCTCGATGTGGCACAGCCGGTCGGGGTCGCTGGAGCTCAGCAACAGGACGTCAGCGGGGAGGATCTCGTTGCACCGCAGCCTGATGAAGTCTCCAACCCGCACCTCCTTCCAGTACTTCTCCACATAGCGTCGCTCAGCTCTGCCAGGACAACGAGAGAAACAAACGGTTGGTGTGAGCTGCACCACGAAAGATGCAAAGCTATTGTTTGCAACAACTGGCAGTTCTATAAACAGAAACTTCAGCCCAACTTCCATAAATCTGCGAGGGATAGTAAATATGTTATGCACAAAAGAGGACAGCCTGTTTGTTGATGCTAAAGCCGCTGGGACTGACTCCCAGATTCCTGGTAGCGGAACATATTCAAGTCAACTTCTTCCTCAATGAGTCCATCATAGTAGAGTAAACGGTGGTGCATAACGTCTCTATTCAGAGCAGAGCTTGCCAACCTCCAAACCATTCATCTTTAACAACAATCAGGGACGGATAATAACTCTCTGAAACTGTGCTAATGGTAACCACCGGGTTCATTTCTGACCAGTGTGACGACGCCGGTAGCAAATCTGCTAAATAATACAGATATAAACAGTGCAGAAGTGAAAGGAAAAACTCTCTGTTATTTATTCAAACAACTCCCACCCCGACGTTAATGACATGACTCACATCCGTGTGTCGCATAAACTCATTTCCTCCCATGAATTTTGATGGTGAAATGCATGTGGTGAAGAAACGAAGAGCATTTCACTATGCACCTTGTATTAGAGTTACAAAGTAGAGGAATGTAAAGTAAACTGAAAAAACAACAACAAAATCCTTTTGATGGCATAAAAATGGATCTGTATCTGGAGGATAATGGATAAACTTTGTAGACTTGGTAAATATGAGGTGTGAGACATTTACATTCTGGCAATCTGACTTTCTTCCTGCAACATCCGTCTTGTTTATCAGTCGAGACAATAGCAGGTCGATTCATCAAAAATAAACATAACTCTCAAATTTGATTAAAAAAAAAAAACAACTTCTTCTTGGATTATATCAACAGTTTACAGCTGCAGGGATCAGAGTTTGATAACTGATTCATCTTTGAGGTCATTTGTCAGGAAAAAAACACCAAACACATGACGGTTATAAAATGGGCGAGTACAATGATTTCTTTGACTCACATAACTATAAACTGAATATCACTGCAAATCAAACTGGCAGGACGAGCCATGAGGCCAATAGAGGACATCACTTGTGGCTGGGGGACATTCTGCTGATCTATTCTGATAACGGATTCGTGCGTTCGAGCAGTTTTTTAACGAAAAAAGTCTCAATTGTCTGATTCCAGCCTCTTAAATGTGAATATTTTTTGGTTTCTTTACTCCTCGATGACAGTAAACTAAATATCTTTGGATTGTGGACAAAACAAGACTTTGAAGACGTCATTTTAGGGTTTGGTAAAAAAAAAAAAAAACAACAATTTTATAGATTGAACAACTTAATAATTAATAGAGATAATTAAACTGTTGGTTGCTGCCCTGAACAATACTTTAACTCTGGAAGACATCCTGCTGATTTGATTGAGTCAGTTTGCTCAAACCTTGCTTCAGATCAAATATGGACTCTACTTTTACACCAATCGTAGACTGTGCATTTTGTCTTCCATCACTTCAGTAAAGCCGGTTTTGGAAAAGATTCATTGAGAAAAGAGAAAAGACTATAACAAACCACAGCTGCAACGAATAATCGACTAGTTGTCAACTATTAAAATGAATTATCAACTATTTTGACGATCGTTTAATCAGTTTGAGTCTTTTTTTTTTTACGAAAAAAAGTTTAAATTCTTTGATTCCATCTATTTAAATGTAAATATTTTCTGTTTTCTTTCCTCCTGTTTGACACTAAACTTAATATCCTACATTTGAGGGCAAAAAAAGACATTTGAGGATGTCATCTTGGGCTTAGGGGAAAAACTGATTGACTATTTTTTTATTTTTTTAATCATTTCACTACTTACGACCAAACAATGAATCTAATAATTGAGAAAATAATAGAGAGATTAATCAACAACAAAAATATTAATTGAATACAACCCTATTGTTTTGTCTAAACATTCACCACAAGCAGTCCTGGTCCATCTTAAATAGGAATTTCTACCCATTTAATTATGATTTCATGGTGTGTGTGTGTGTGTGTGTGTGTGTGTGTGTATAAAACTGATTCCCTTTAATAGTAATTCTATGGAACAAACTGATAAACTTCAACAAGGACAAAGTGAAAAAATATCATTATATCTGCAGTCTGACGGAAATCACATGTCTGTCTTTTGACGAAGATTAAATGATTAAATGTGAAACGTATCTTCCATTCTTTGAGCATGACTGCAAAATAACTCAGCCTGCACACTCATCAGCGATCACTAATTAATTATCTGGGTTTGAAAGAATTTGCTTTAGCTTTGCAGAGACAATAACATGAGCCAACGTCGACGTTCAGTGACCTGGACAGCAGATTATTTCCAGAGGATGCTGTCGGCTCCCTGAAAAGTAGATTAAGTTCAAACTATCTACATTCCAGGAAGTTTATTAGCACAAAAGTACGATTCGACCAAATCATGCACTTAGGAGGAATCCTTGTTTCAGACTCTCTAAACATTGCATATTTGATTAAACTGGGTTTCCTGTAGCTGCTACTACACTGCGTGAAGATAAAATGGATTCAGACGAGCAGCTCCAAGTTTTCCACAAACACAAAGCGACAGATAGTTCGAGCGACTGTGTGCCGTAACCTTGAGAAAAATGAAATACGGTTTTCGTCAAGTCAGCTTCTCACCAGGTTAAGAAAGGCGATGTTTTGCACAATATTGCCACAGCAGAAGAAAATTCAATAATGTCCAACCTTGACAGAACAACTTGGGTCAAGACTTAAGCTAAAACTGCGGAGCCACTAAACACTGAGCCTTTTGATAGCTGTGAATTATGCTCTGTACACGGACGACAGTGCTGCTTTTCATTAGCAAAATACAGTCTGCACACACACAGACGCAGGAAAATAAGTCAGAAGCAGGTCATCAGGTTGCGAACTGACTCATAATTAATAGAGACAGCAGAAAAGCTTCTACTATCAGAGAAAAGACAAACCATTTCACATCTGTGTGGCAGACAGGTGGGCAGGAATCTGGTGATTTCTGGACTTTTGGATGCCACATATTTGTCATGTGTGAGAGAAGTTTAACTCTGAGATGTTCTGCTTCCTCTAATCTTGACTCACAAATAAAGATTATCTGCAGAAGGTACGTCCCCCTCAGTTTTTAGAACATCTGTCCCCCCTAATAAAAACGAGAAGGAAGCAAATGACATGTGCTCTGAAAGTGCAGAAAGTTTTGAGCTTGAGCAGAAATCTTGCTGAAATTAATGCATTTATAATTAACGTAAAAAGGTGCCACATTTAAATCATTTACTTCGCCACAAAAGAGAGCAGAGGAGTAGATTATGTGTGCTTCATTAGCGGATCAACAGGAGAATAAGTATTGGAAAGAAACATGGCATGTCTCAGAGCCTCACTGCATCATGTTCAACCATAGTTTGTATCACCTGGTGCCTGAATTCTGCATTTTTCTGCAAAGTTACAAATTAATGCACAAAAATTCCTCTACAAATGACAAACATTTGTCGTTTCCAGATTCACAAATGAGCGACTACGATGGTTTGTCTCTCTTTTTTTTTACTTTACTGTAGATTAAACTTCACCAGATTTCAGCTGAAGTCCTTCTAAACTTCTGAGAATCATCAGGTTTTTACGAGTTCCCAGTAACAAAGTAATTTCCTGCTAGTTGTCAAGTTTACTCTCATGATGCTGCAGCAACCAGGATTACATAAAGTCACTGGAAAGCAGGATGTGAAGTTTTCTTCCCATTTCAAGTGAAATCTATGCCCATGATTATCTGAGCAAAAGGCTGGATTCATGCATGAAGACCATCTGTGTGGTCTGACAAGAAGAGCTGCAACCATTAACTGATTAGTTGTCGACTGTTAAATTAATCTGTAACTATTTGGAAAATCGATTCACTGATTTAAGTAACGTTTTAAGGGGAAAAGTCTAAATTCATGTTGAGCTCCATGACCGTAAACTAAATAATTTTGGGTTGTGGATAAACCACTGTTTCTATTTTATAACATTTTATAGACTAGACAAATAAGTGATTAGTCCAGATTAATTAGCATTATAAGTAATCGTTAGTTAGCCCTGCTGTAAAGAAAATAAAGCAAATGTGTGTTGATTGAAGTTCTGCAATGATTATTCTGTTAGTTGTCAACTTTTACATCAATTTCAAACACTTATGACAATTAATTTACCAGTTTCAGTCATTTTTTTAAAGAAAAAAAAAGTCCTAATTTTCTAATTCCAGCTTCCTAAATGTGGATATTTGCTGTTTTTTTTCCTCCTCTATGGCAGTAAACTGAATATCTGAGTTATTGGACAAAACAAGACATTTGAAGATGTCATCTTGGACTTTGGGGTATTTTTTTTTTTTCATTTTACTATTTTCTAACATTTAATGGACCAAAAAATAAATTAATTAATTGAGAAAATAAGTAAAATATTTATATTAATTGTCAATGATACAACTAGTTGCAAACTGTTATGATAACTAATTATTTGATTTTAATATTTTCATTTAATAATAATAAAAAAAAAAACATTAAAATGTCCTGATTCCAGCTCCTTAAAATAGATTTTTTTTTTTTCTGGTTTCTTTGTTTCTCTGTGACAGTAAACTGAACACCTTTGTATTTGTAGACAAAACAAGACATTAGAGGACATCATCTTGGGCTTGGATTAGACCGAACAACATATGGATTATTCCAGAAAATAAACAAAACTCATCAACAATGAAAGTAATCCTGAGTTTCATCCCTACTGGCAAGAAACGAAGCACCTGTGTGTTGACTGAAGAGCTGCAGTGACTAATGTCTTAGTTGTCAACTAATAAATGAACCTGTAACTATTTCAATAATCATTAACAATCCATCTAATAATCCACTTGAGTAACTGATTAAAGAATGAAAAAAAAAACGCCTTAATTCTCTGATTTCAGCTTTCACGTCATCTTGGACTTTGGAATAGTTTCTATCATTTCTTTCTAAACCAACTAATCAATTAGTGTAGAAACTAATCAAAATATTAATCAACAGAGTTGCAGCTCTACTTGCTAGAAAACTAAGTTAGCGTGTGTTAACTGAGGAGCTGCAGTCATTTATTGATTGGTTATCAACTACAGAATTCATCGCAAACTGTTAAGATATTTGATTAATTGATTTCAGCTGCTTTTAAATTTTTTGAAAAGTTCAAATTCTGTGATTCCAGCTTCGTAGATGTGTTTTTTCCTGGTTTCTCTCCTTCTCTGTGACAGTAAACTTTGAGTTAATAGACAGAGTGAGACATGTGAGGATGTCATCCAGAGCTTTGGCAAATGTTTCACCATTTTCAACAAAAAAACTTGATGAATCAACAGATTGTTAGACAACGAAAATTGTTAGTTGAAGCCCTACAAGCAGGAAAATGAAGCAAATGTGTTGATTGAAGAACTGTAATAAGCACTTGATTAGTTGCTAGGATGTTATGATGATTAACTGATTTCAGTAACTTGAAATTTAAGAAAAAATTTAAATTCTCAGACTTCAGCTTCTCCAGTGGGAAGTTCCTTTCCTTCTCTGTGACGCTAACAACTGATTATCTTTGTATTTGTGGAAAGATCAAGACATCTGAGGACGTCATCTTGGACTTTTGGACGTTTTTCACGAAACTAATCGATGAATGGAGAAAATAATTGACCGACTGTTGGACAAAGGAAGTAATTGCTAGTTACAGGCCTGCTGGCCAGAAAAGTTGGCGTTGGTGTTGTTTTCAAAGTGTGTGTGGATCAGCTGATGTGAGCAGAAGTCAGGACAGCGTGTACAGCCACAGCTGGACACATCTGGCTGCTGCCGAGGCCTCTCACCTGCTGAACACCAGACAGTCCATGTGGTTGATCTCGGTGTCGGAGCGGTGTCTCCGGTAGTCCTCCCACAGGTCCTTGATGGCGGTGACGGACAGGATGAAGACCACCGGGGCCAGAGCCAGCTCGGGCTGAAACGCGTTGACAACCGGGACGAAGTTCAGCAAAGCGATGAAGACAAAGTAAACATTGGCGAACCTGTGGAACTGCTCGAAAAGGTTCTTGGGCAGGAATGACAGCACGGTGTACTTGGTGGTCTTAATCTTGTTGTTGGCGTAGTGTCTGTTGGGGTTTTCCTCTCCTTTGTTGGCGTTGTCGTACAGGAGGTTTGCGTGCACCGTCCTGGTCTTGTTCTCTTTGCTCTTCTTCTTCCTCTGCCTCCTGCTCCTCGGAGCCTTGCCCGTCCCGGTGTCTTCGCTGCGCCGCCGCGCCATAGCAGCTCCTCCAAACTTTCCCACAGTTGATCTTTTCCTACAACTACCGGCAGACTGACGGCTAAGTGATCATTCTCCCTCCGTGTCCGCCGGCTCGCCCTCGCTGTCCTCGTCGCTCACACGAACAGCCGCTTTCCATCCATGTCGACTCCTCTTTTCTCGACTCAGAGGAAACTTTTGCTTGTTTAGCTTCTCCTTTTTTTCCTGCAGCTGAAGGATGCTCCGACGGTAGGAGGTTTGACTCGGACGTCCCGCAGCTCCTCCTCAGATCTGCACAACATGTGGACCTGCTGCCGCCGCTGGATGCGCGCCACTGCGCAGCTTGGAGAGCAGCAGCTGCGCGCAGGCGGCGCAGCGGTGGGAGGCTCACCAGCGGGCCCGGGCTCGCTCCTCTGTGGAAATGTGATCTGAGGCTCCTCCTCGAGCCAACCTGGAGCTGAGTGCCACGCGGTAGTTTGAGTTTACACCGAGCAGCAGCAAACAGTCACAGAAACCAGGATTGTTCACCGTGAGCGGATATACATCAGAGGAACTGTTTGGAGACAGACAACACATGAGTTTTTCAACTTTAAAAAACTTTTATCCGTCTATCTTTTGTGCCTGTCAGTGATGTAGAATCTATTGTAGAAAAAAAACTTGTGTATCACTGTTATTGCTGAATACGATCTATCAATCAATCAATCTATCTATCTATCTATCTATCTATCTATCTATCTATCTATCTGTTACATTAAAGTTTAGATGAAATGTAATTTGTATATTTAGTTCTCTAAAACGTAGGCCAGTAGTATTGCATTGTCATTTAACCCTGCTGTTATCTTTAGGGGTCAATTTGACCTAATTCAATGTTTAACACCTCTAAATAGGTCATTCATGTATTTTTTCAGTTTTATTTAAAGGACTATTTACACGTAAACTTCAATACCAGTTTTAATTATGCTATTTTTTGGAGGTTTAAATTGCTGGGGTCAAACTGAACCCACAGATAAAAGATGTTGTAAATTTGAAGGTAATAGGAGGGTTAACTTGTGCTGCTTGACTTCAGGGAGTTGGGATCTTTCTGAAATTCACATTAACCCCATAAGAGGTGCAGATTTCACAATAAACACAGGCCCACAGATGACAGAGTGAGACAACTATACAAATATACATTTGAGTGAACTATTCCTTTATTCCTTAGTTCATCCACACATGAAAAACAGACACGTCTCTTCTCATGTTGCAGGCCGTTAGTTTCTTTCGTAAACTCTGCCTTGGAACAGCTGATTTGCAGCAGATCGTATCATCCAGTGTGTGCCACCGTTGGAACATTAGCAGTATTTGTCAAACGGCAGTTTGCAAATAGAAAAACGCGATCAAAAAGTTCTGGGATGGTTTGTGGTGAATATACAAAGAGTGTGCAATGTCCGTAAACATGCAACATGTGTGAGCAGTAACTGTCATGACTCAGATCTGGATCTATATTGGACACATTTGCAATTTCACTCTCAAACTGGACCAGAGAAGAAAACATCACCTTCTGTGTCAGTCAGCTGCTGTGATGATCAACCTTCATGTCAGGGATCATCACTGGTGATGAGAGATGGGTCAGCAGCTACCATCAGGGGAAGAAATGACAGGTTTAACAGTGGAATAGAAGCAGTTTCCAAAAGCAGACAAGGTGCATCAGGTCACTCTTGTTGTTTTATTCAACGTTCACATGGTGGTGTCTTGTGATATAGTCTCCTGAAGTCAGACCGTCGAGGCAGAGCTCTTCTGAAATGTCTTGAGGTGTCTGAGGGAAAACATTTAGGAACTGTTGTCCAATGGCATGTGAGTAACAGAATGTGCTGGGCGTCACAGTGTGTTGATAGCAATGAAGTTTTTGGCTACAACAGCACCACCTTTGCCCTGCTGTACTGGTCAGATTGGGCTCCCTGTGACTTCTTCTTCCCACAAATGAAACTCAAGTTGAGGCTTGTTGAGACTGTTTTGACCCACTTTAGGAGAATCAGCACTCATCTGTTTACAGAACTAAACTTCCAGAGAACATTACAAGTATGGCAGAAGCTTTTCACAAGGACACAACTTCACCTGTGATGCAGTCGGGTACAGTTGTACTGGGTACTGCTTTAGTATTTTTTATAGTCTCTGAGCATTTTGATCACACTTAGTGAAGTCCTGGTGCATGATTTTAAGATATATTCAAGACAAGGCAAACTTGGTGTTTCAGTCAGAGAACAGTTCATCTTTACCCAACTCTCAGAGTGACACAGCTGATTTTTGCACCTGAATCTGAGAATTCTTAATGCATATTTCTAAACTAGCTTTAGGCACCGATCGTCCAGATGCTGCTGACAGATCACTCAGTGAGCATTTCAGGAAATTTCATGCCTAAACCCAAACGATGAGAACAAACGGTACCAGCCAATCAGAAACAGACAAGGTTGGCAACATCTTTGCTAACCTTGGAAATGAACTGAACCTGCAGGACATGACTGAATGATACACATCAGAGGGGATGAGAATGCTCAATGTTTAATGACAAATAGGTAGTTAACTCCATCTACCTGTGTTTACGCTTCCCTGCAGCTCTGCCCCAACCTCCCCGCTGCTGCTTCATCCAGTTCAAACAGCTGCTGACCCCCAGCTGCTCTGTTCGACCTCAAACCTGCATCTCAACAAGGCTTTCAAGCACTTACTGTATCATTTCATTAAACAACACATTTCTAAGCTCTTGTATTGTAGCTCAGACACCCAGTTTTTGATTTAGATATTGTAAATCCGTTAAGATAAAAACTACGGAAGCTGAGAGCGGTCGTTTTCCGCTGTTCTTTCTTCGCCGTTTTCTCGAGATAACGAGTTAATTTTCTCGTTATCTCGGGATAACAAGAATCGTTTTCTCGTGAAAACGAGATAATTTATCTCGAGAAAACCAGCTTCGTTCAGCCTGTGTCGGACCTCGAGAGAAGTAAAGTCTGATGCCTTCATCAATGACAGATGATCCTCGATCTGACATTTTCAGTCTGTTCTCAGCAAAGTCACTGCTGTACTCCAGAGCGTCACTCGTTTCTTTGTAAACACAGGCATCAGTATCCAGGGATAATTATCTCGTTATCTCGAGAAAATGCCGTTTAAAAAAATGTGCGGCCATGAACGCTCTCCGCTTCCGTAAAAAACTGTTAGTTAGCTACACAATATTTTGCTGCAACATCCCATTCAATAAAAGCTGGCTGTTTACCTGGGCCAGCTAGCGTTCTCACCTTGACTTGTTGTTGCAATGTTCCCTCGAAGGTCAAAGTTCAATCAAGTGAAATCGCAAGGTCAACGTAACGCAAACGCAGCGACGCAAGTTTTGATTTGGTTTTTAGGTTTGGGATTTTTAGAGTTTGTTCTCAGTTTTGGGTTTTGACCACACATTCATTCATCACACAGAGGCCGACCTGTATGTATCCAGCTGGAGTTTGAACCAACATCTTGCTGTTAAAGGTTGACGTCCTTCTCCTCTGGACCATCTTCAGCACTGATCAACGGTAACCAACAGAGACACAAAGATCAGACTAAATGTGACCCTCAAGACTTCTGAGCTTCAGCTTGAACACATTTACGCTCCAACATGGTCCCACTGAGATGCTGAAGTTAAACTGATTCAAGTGTTTAAAGTTTCTGTGGTGCTGATCTGAATCGAGGATGAATCCCATGAGAAGGTTGAAGGCTGACTGATTCCATGGTGAAGTGGTCTGAGATGTTCCGCATGTGATCACAAGGTTCTTGGTTCAAAACTCATAAGCTGACAAGTCTGTTCATTTATTTCTACACTGAACTTTTAATAAAGACAAAGTGGCAACAAGAAAACTTTCTAATCAACAATGAATTTATGAAGTCCTGTTGAGTTTTAACTACCTAATTAAAAGACATGATTGTTGAGACATACAACCTCCACAATCATCATTGTAACAAAATAAACTGAATAAGTGAATCCACTAAAGAAGGCCTGCAGACAAAAGAAGTGACAGTTCGAACAGTGGCTCTCTTTAGACAGCTATCAGATAATGTTGGTTTCCGACAGACCTGTTAGCTGGTTCATGAGATAAATCTGATAGCATCAGTCAGCTGACATGTTAGTCCAGTGGTTGAGACCCACATCTTCCAACCAGGTGATCCCAAGTTCAAATCCAGTTGCACTATCTGCCAGGTCTTTGTGGCTTCAGTCAAATGATTGTTCTCTTGATGGGTTTTCTGTGTGATTTTACTGTGATTTATGATTCAGAAATCCATCCATCCATCCATTATCTATACACCGCTAAATCCTCACTAGGGTCGCGGGGGGCTGGAGTCTATCCCAGCTGACTTAGGTGAAGGCAGGTGACACCCTGGACAGGTTGCCAGTCCATCGCAGGACCACACTTAGAGACAGACAACCAAGCACACTCACATTCACACCTACGGACAGTTTAGAATCACCAATTAACCTCAACATGTTTATGGGCTGTGTGGGACCTACACACTGCATGGGGAGAACATGCAAACTCCACGCAGAAAGATTCCGGTGCCCCCACTGGGATGCGAACCGGCAACCTTCTTGCTGCGAGGCAACAGTGCTACCAACTGCACCACCTTGCATGATTCAGAAATATGAATACAAATTGAAAATTAAGTAGGTATACAACATATATCTGCATGCATGCTGCACAACACCACTGACTATACATGCCAATAACTCAGTGTGAAGTCATATCTGGTTTGACCACACAGACAAAGCATGGGCAGCTAGTTTTTTGCTGTCAAGGTTGTACAGGTGGTTGAATATACTTTAAAAAGTGCAGACTATATTTAACTTCATCAGCATGGTTTTGGCAAACTGAGAGCTACACAACAGTTTACAAAATGTGACCTTTTTGTTGAGTCTGTGAACTACCACAGCCACACTGATCAACAAAAATCAAAATAAAAAAAATCAAGTGTAATGTTACACCATGCTCATCAAAAATGACACAATTAGAAACTCACTGGTGTAAAAAAAACCCAAAAAACAAACAAACAAAAAACATCTACAAGTTTGCAGGCTTTTAAGTTTTCTGACAATGTAGTTTTCTAAAAAGCGATTGCAGACAAATAGACGCATTTCTGTCCAAATGTTGCTTCATGCCAGCTGGATGCAAATGTAGATGAAATCTGGCAATAAGTTGATCATAGTAATTAACAATGTGGTTTCTGTTTGTTTAGGTGCCTGCCCCCTAGTGGTCAAAATGTGTTGAATGTAGCTTTAAGTCACAATGTGTGATCCAGTGACGTAAACAGTGAAACCTCGGTTTGTAAAGTGAATGTAGACGGTACATCATTTTGTACTTGTATAACATTTTGTACAGTTTTTCACACTCTTTTGTAGATTTATTGCACTATATTCAAACATTTTAAAACCATTGATTATTTAATTATTTGCAAATTTAAATTAATAAAATTGTGTTCTTTAAAAACATTTTTTAGCAGCTGTTATTTCTGTGTGCTCCAGGATGTTATGGTTTGCTATTTGTCAATGCTAGAGTGTCATATTTTTACTCCAAGTGCATCAAGTAATGGAAATATCACCAAAGTCATTCGACAACATCTCTTTTTATTTTCAACCACTAGGATTTACCAAATCTTGACGCAAAAACAGAACATAAAG